GCCTGCCCGGGAAATGGACAGATCCACGTCGTTTCATGGCAGCCTCACCTTGCAGCAGCCAGCCGTACAGGGTGCTCAGGTTCAGACAGAAGCTACCCGGAGTCGGGCCCAAGCCCCCTCCCAGAATGATCGTCAAGTGTGCCACGAAGCATGTTCTCCATGTGCTTTCCCATAACTGAACATGTATGCTCATGCTCTTCTAAGAATGCACGCATGAACATGAAATGTTCCACTGGGAACCACGATCACATGCATGGACTGGAGACTTGTCTTAGGTACTGGGGGCTGGAGCCCCCTCTTCAGGAAGCAGCTGTGTGGCCCTCAGTGAGCGGAGGGCTCCTCCCAGGTCCCTCAGCAGCCTGAGTCTCCACCATGTTCCAGTCACCACTGCCACTCCCACGGGAACCACTCAGCTAGGGACGGGCCCATCGTGAATGGTTTCGTGGGCTTTCTTTTACCCTAGGAGCAGCTTAAGGATGGAATGTTCTTCATCTCTGAAAGAAGGTCCGAGTTGATAAAAAACGGATGCTATGTCTGGATGTGTTGGCTCAAAAGAACTGCAATACTGCAATCAGGAAGCAGGTATCGGTGGGTGACGCTGATGTTGTAAGAACACTGCATAGCTTTGCCTTATTATCTCTTACATAGTAAATTCTGAGTGCACATTTTTTCTTTTAATATACAAATCATGTTTTAAAATATTTCATGGAAGTATATTAGAAATCAGCTTTTTTATTTCTTTACTGTTGAAAGTCTCCATATCGTACTTAATAATAACTCACGGGAGAGTGGTTCAACGGTGAAACACAAGGTAAAAGGAATCTGACCTGAAGACAGTATAGTTAAAGGTACACAACTCACTTTTGGGGAATAGAATTAAATCTATGAACATGTAGAGATAATTTTTAGATAGGAACCGAAAGTAGCTTTGTCAGATTTGTTTTGTTTTACTTTACAGTGGACCCTTGACTCATGAGCTCAATTTGTTCGCAAGTGTTGGTTGTAACTCAAGTTGTCAACTGAAGGCCCAGGCTCCTCTCCACAGCCTTCAAAGTCCCTCTCCGTACACAGGCTGATCTCAGTGTCTTCAGGAAGATGTTGGCCCAGGATTTCTCAATGCCCTCCCACAGGAAAAGATGTTGTAAGGCCCATTCCAGAGCTCCTTATGGGCCAAGCACAAGCAGCCAGCATTCAGGTCATATCTTGTGACTTTGGTTGTAAGTTACAGCTAAAATTCCACTCATGACCCAAGTTGTCTGTATGTCAGACTGGTAGTAATCTGAGAATCCACTGTGTCTTCTAGAGAAACAGTGACCTGGGAGGCTTCTCGGTTAGAGTCACAGGACCTCCAGCCCCAGGTCCTACCTCCGCCCATGTCTCCTTCCAGGGAGTTCCCCAGACCTGAATTTCTACCAGGGTGGCCGGGAACAAGGTAAGTGACTGAGACTTTAACTGGCCCTGGGCCCTGGATGTTTCCCTCTTTTCATGGAGGCCCTGGAGTGGCACCACCCAGTTCAGACCCACTTCCTGCCAGCATCCTGCCTTATCTAGGAGCTAGAGCTGTCCACTTCCTGCCATGCTGTAGAGAAGCAGTCATGTGGGCACCACCTACTTTGCCTCCCTAGGGCTCTCCAGGGTCCTCTGTACTCCTATTAGGAGTGGGGGTCTGCATGCACTTCTTGCAGGCTACATCACAGGCTGCCTGGGACCACAGTACCAGAGCCCTGAGGCCCTTCTGGGCCAAGGACAGACAACAAGCTGCTCATCGCAGGAGCCTCATCCTCCTGCTTCCAGGAGCTGGTGCCCAGTTGGGTCACAGCTCCATCACCCCTGGGTGGCCCTTTGAAGACTTAAGAGATTTTCAGTCCATTTCTAACTGACGAAGAAGAGCGGAAGGAGCTGTTTACTTGGAGCAGAGCCAGTGTCGCCAAAGTGGTGAAGTTAGGAGGTAGATAGGAGTTTGCTTTAAATATTAAAGGATGCAAGAGTATTGTTTGTGCCTATTTATGAGATCTTTAGCATGTCTAGTAGGTATGCAGTGGTGCCTTGGTTCACCAACACTTTGGTTTGGAAACAATTTTGTTTGCAAATAGAAGTGTTTGGCAAAATTTTGTTTTTGTTTGCAAACTCTGCATCCCATGAAAACACAACCATGACAGTCTTTATTTAGGGTTTTTTTTTTTTTTTTAGTTTTTTTAGTTTTTATTTTTATTTTTTGGTACCAGGGATTGAACTTGGGTCCCTGCATTCTCAGGGCAGGCGGCAGAACCACTGAGCTAAATCCCCGGCCCCGTGACAGTCTTCTATCAGGAACACAGATGTGTCCATCTTCTCCAAAATCGCAAAACAAACTAAGTTGGTGAACCGAGGTATCATTGTGTCTGTATGGATATATACCTATGTCCATATATATACTGAATTCCTGTAGACATTGTCCAATTTACTCAGGTATTTACATCTATTCTGGATCTGAAACACTCAAACACTGATGTGTCCCTACATAATGTAACTAGCCACCAAGAGGCAATTACAGATCTTTTGAAAATAGCTGTCATCATTTCTAATACACATTTTAGGGATGAATATTCGATTCTTGCATTTGATCGCATTGTGGGAGCGTGGGATTTCTTAAACATATTTATTTATCACTGAAACCCAAGAATCTCACAGGAAGTTAGTGCTATTTTGATGCTGTAGGCTCCATACTGCAGACATCCCTTCCCTTCCCGCAGGGCACCAAGAGCCACCTCTGAGACAACTAGCGGCATGGCCAGTGCCGCTGTGGGTCGAGATGGGGCCACCCTTCCTCCCGTCGGGTCTGGTGCCCGAGAACCAAATGCCAGTGTGTCTTTCCTCGAATTTTAGAAATCCTGTGCTACCATGCAATCAAATATTTCCACAGAGCTGAAAAGTCCAGGAGACAGTCCGACAGATTCAAGCTTTCTCCGTTTGCGCAGTGAGGGCAGAGGTCAAGCAAAGCTCCTCGGTCTGTTCTGCCAGGAGACCTGGGGGCTTCCACAGCCAGCAGCGCCCTGTGTGGCTGTGAAGGGCATGCAAAGGAGGCCTCTTCTGGGTCAGGGCATCGGACACACCCCCAGGGCACACCTATGACCCCAATCTGTCCTGTCACACCGGTGAGGGCACACAGACCCCCTGACCACTGCTTGGACACCACCGGGCCATGGATGCCAGGGACAGATCCACCTAAACTGTCTGGTGAGTCCAGTGTGCCGGGTCCCCTTCCCCGAACCTCTGCCTATCCATGAGAAGCGAAGACCAAGTGTTCAGAAGCCATAACCAGGGTTGGAAAGTAACGAAGCAAATCCAGGCCAGGCACAATGCATGGCTATGAGGCAGCCAGGCAGGGGAGATCGTAGACTCAGGAAGCTCCAGGCCCAGGGCTCCATGTGGACTGAGGTGAGGACTGGAAATAGGGAGGGAAGTGCTCAGCCCAAAGCTTTCTGCTGCCTGGTGGGAGCCCTGGCCAGGGCCATGCTCTTGGGACAGCTAAGGCCTCAGGGAGGGCTCTGGTGGTGGGAGGACTAAAGGAACAGGCTAGGCATGCATGCAGCCCCTGACACTACAGGGTTTCCTTCTCCACTGTCCGTGCTCCTCTAACAGCAAAGCAGGAACTGGGCACAGAGCTGGCACGTCCAGTAAACCCGAGCCACTGAATGCGGGGCAGGGGAGGCACGCAGAAGAAAGGTGCCAGCGGCAGGCACCTCAGCAAGCACTGCGGTGGCTCTCCAAGCACTCTGCAACACTTCTGGGGGAAAAACTCTGGGAAGAGGAATTCTCATAGAGAAAAATCGCAATTGTAATTTGATCCTGTAATATCCATTGTTCCTAACTTACCATGCATACAAAGTAATTAACATGACTTCTACTGACTGAGTGTTTTTGATGGCATTATCTCCAAAGTAAAAAATTGATTTTCTTAGACCATCAGCCACTCTAATTCTTTTTTTGTTCAAAGTTCTAATAGTCTTCCACTGTGATTTCTCCTACTGGTAGGGATTTGAGGCGATAAACTTTCCTCCTAGGCCCCTGGATCGGCCCAGGGCATGCGGGTGCTGATTCTTTTCAGACTTCACTCACTCATCTGCCAAATAAAGAGACTGGCTCTGAAGGGCAATCACATACTTCCTTAAAATCAAAATTTTTAAATTCCTCTTGTCTTCATGTCCATATCACACAATTTTTAAATTATCAGATAGGCAGTGGATTGGACTGCTCTATGCACTTTAAGCTTTATAACTGATTAGGTACATTTAGTTACCCAAACCAAGAGCTATTTCTAACTTCATAACCGAAAATGTTGTAAGTATCAGTTATATTGCAAATTCATCTTTTAAACTAAACAACTTCTCCTTTATTTCCCTCACTCTTGGCTTTTTTATTTACATACCCAAATTGTCACATTGATTGACATTATTATGACAGCAATAGAGAGCTCTACTTCAAACTGTGAGCTGCAGGCCCGGCCTGGCTCCTCCCACCTGCCAGCTGCTATCTTGCGAGAGTAACCAAGCTCTCACGTTCATTTTTCAACCTGGGAGATTAGTGGTGATACAATAGAATCCAGCACTCCAGCAGTTATACCTTCTGTGCATGTTTATATAGCTATATGATTCTTTGTCCCTGTATATGTCATTCATACACAGCTATAGTTAAATCAAACACCCACTATACGTCCTCCACACGTGTCTATGAGCTTTTCACACTGAATACTATTCCATAATCCATATTTCCCATCCCAGATGCTCTTCAGTTCCTGAGCTGTTTTCTTTCAGATCCAGCCCTTCGATTATTAAAATATGAATACATCTACATTGATCCACTTCAAACTATTGCTTCTCCCGATGTGCCTACACATCGGGATACTCCTCCTGATGTGGAAAGTGTGCAGAATTAAACTCAACTATGGAGGTCAGCACCCAGCTCCAGGGCAGCGTGCCCTGGTGAAGGGGTCGTCCGGTGCCCGACACGCGGATGCTTACTGGTATAGGTGAGCTGGAAGCCGCGGTCTGTGTCAGAGCCGTTGGTGTTGAACTCCAGCCACAGGTGGTTGGAGGTGCTGTTGAGGATCAGGCCCATCAGCTCGTTCTTCGTGAAGGCTCCTAGCAGATGTGAGGAGCTGTCTTTTCCATCGTAAACCTAATGAAAATTCACAGCGTCAGTGCCACTAGTCCCTAAGTGAACTCTACTGGTGGCAATTTCAACAACAGGAAAAACCACCGATGCTCAAAGATGCAGCTTTCTGCAGCACACTGAACAGTCATGCAGTCATGCAAGCCCACGGGCTGACAGGGTGACACCGTCTATTTTCCTGAAGCTCTACCTCTGCCTGTAGCGCTACAGACCAGGGTCATGCCCAAATCATGTCCTCTTCACTCTCCGAGGGCCGAGGGCTCCTTCTGCGTTAGGGTTAGACGCATTTGTGTGCAGCTCTGTGCCTGCTTCCAGAGAGGCGGGAACTCCAATGGACATGGCAGGTGTGGGCCTGGTTCTGAGCAGACATGGGCTGGGCGTGTGAGGGGCTGGGCGTGCATTTCACCTGAGACAGGAAGGCACCGCAGGGCCGGATGGAGATGGGTCACACTGCTCAGGCCGGGACACCCTCCCCGAGGGCTTCTCTCTGCTGATGTCCCCAGGCCCCTCTGCCTAAGGACATGGACACCCTGCCGTGGAGGAGCCCTGTGCTGCCAGTCTCTTCTATCCCAGGGAAGGCAGCACACATAGTGGGAAAGCCACCTTGCAGATAAAGGCTTTTTAAATGAATTAAATGTATCACGGTATAATGAAGAACATCCCGTTTTCTTGCTAAGAAAACCTGAGTGATTAAAGCTCATCAAAGTCCTCCATGGCCTCTGCCCCCCTCAGCATGCTCGAGCTCCTCCTCAGCAGAGGACCTCACCACCCCAACTCCGTCCTCTCTGTGCGTGCCCTGTGCTCGCCTCAGACACACATGCACCTGCATCCACCCGCAGAAAACACACCCACGTTAATTTTGTGATTATTTCATTGCAATTAGCTAAGCACATTCTAGTGGAGCAGAAGAAAATACCCTCTAATTTCCTTCCCAAAAGGCTGTCGCTAGAGATCATTATTTTTTTTTTAATCACTGCTTGTTTGGAACTGTGGTTTCCTTCAACATGTTCAGGGTTCTGACAACCAGGGTAATAAAGGATTAAGTCAGGGGTAGTTGGTTCCCAGAGGAAATGCCAAGGCCCCCCTGAGGCCTGGGCCCCCATGCCAGGCCTTTTTCTGTAGGCCATAGAAAGCTGCGGAGATGGTGGAGATGGGAGCAGGGAACAAGAGATGAGGCCACAGCTCAGCCCTGGAACAGCTCCTCCCTCTCGCTCACCACAGGGTGGATGGGGCCCCCGCACCACTTCTGGGTCATCAGAAATGACCAGCGCCTTGGCTGAACGGTTCCCTCTCCAGAACAGCGAGTTCTTCCAGGTGTCTACACTGCCATGGACTCTGCAGAATGACCACCCACCCACCGAGAGGGAGCCCACTCGGGGACCCTCCAGCAACCACATGGGCTGGAGGTTTGCCCCGGCCACGGGGCAGAGCCGGGCAGCAAGGCAAGCGTGGACTTGGTTCCACCCCAGCTGACTCACCCCGGGCCACAGGACCTGCAGCGATCTTGGGGATCCCCTCATCTGTGCATTGCTAGAATCCAGGGGTCCCCTCTATTCTCAGAGCAGCCACCTGAGCCACCTGCTACATAGGAGTGAGAGGCGGTCAGACTGGAAAGCACTGGGGAATCCCAAGGCAGCCAGGCTGAGCACCTGAGGAGATCTCAGGAGCTCCCAGCAGGATGCCTGTCAGGCCACCCCTCTGAGGCCTTTCCAAGAACCTTTCCCTCCCTTTGGCATTCATGTCTGTGTGCACAGAGGGGAGGGGACCAATGCCTAAGTTTGTGTGGACAGCAGTGGACCCCAGGACATGTGCAGGGGCATGTGGACAGCCTCTGGCTCTCAAAATACAGCAACTTAACTAACGTCTTTAACACTGAGGTATCTGTCAGCTCCTTCAACCAGATCTACCCCAGTAAAGCTTGGCATTTACACAGTCCAGTTTCCCTGCAGCTAAATATGGCAGGGAAGAGAGTGTTTGTAACTTCTGTTATAATCAACAAGCCCAAGCTGCATGCAGGCAACGCTGAGCACCATTTCCTCCCTCCTTCATCCCAATACCGTTTGTAATAATAATATAATATTTAATTGCTCATCGCCCACCTGCACCAGAGCAAAAACGCTTACTGACTTCTAAATTTGAGGTTATCAAAGAATTTAGAAAATTCCTACTTACGCCTAACTTCACAAATTCTTTTTTTTTTTTTGTAAGTTAGTAAGAATGTGCTGGCTTCCTGGCTGAAAAACATTTCTTAATTACGGTCCTTCAAGCTGTCAGCATGAACTTCCCAAAAGGCTATGAAAATGAAAGCACACGCAGAATAGAACCACTCTCGTGCACTCCGCATGGAGGAAGTCAGTGCTGGGCTCGGAGTGGGAGAGGCGCTTTGACCCCGCCTGCCTGACCTGCAGGAGGCGGAGTTCCGCCGGGCTGTGCCAGCCCACACGCAGGAGCGCAGGCGGGGACTCACTGGGGCTCCCTGCCAGGTGGCTCTGCACGTCCTCCGAGGGCAAAGTGCCTCTGCAAAGCTGGGAGGCAGTGGACTCCGGGCTTCACACAGGGAGGGGAGGCATGGACACGCCCCCGACACAGCTGGGCTTCCGGCCGGATCAAGCTGTGCTCCTTCCCTCCAGAGTTGGCCCCGCTGGACCACAGGACCTGTGCCCTTGGGAGCCGCGTGGAGCCTGAGCTGCTCACAGCCTTCTCTCTCGGGGTCCTGCGGCTGCATCTACCACTGCCACTTTCCTGCGCCTGGGCCCTGCAAAGTCCCCAGTTCTTTGGAACAGTTGCAGGAGATGTGGGGCCTCTGTGAGAAGCCTCAGGATTCAGGGCATTTCTGGCTGTAGCAGGGGTCTCATAAGCCAAGGAAAGGCTGGTGTCCCGCAGTCCTGTGAGACCCAGGCTTGCCCGGCCCTGGCACCTCCCAGGGGCGCTGCTTGCTGTTCTAGTGGCAGTGGCTGGCTTACTTCTGGAGCCTCACCAGAATCCTTCCGGCTCTAACTGCTCAAAGTGGAGAATAAACTAGAGAATAGTGACAACTGCTAGAGAAAGTGTTGGTCTGGGGGGTCCCATGTACTTTAATAATTGCTTTTATATGCTGCATACAATGTTAGATACATCAGGATGTTACACCGTGTAACCGCAAAACAGCCCAAAGGCTCTGTCACATCGTGGGTCCCTACACATAGAGAAGCTAAATGCCAGGCTTGCTGAGTAGTTTGCCTGGGAGAGAATGTTTGTGGGTATTAGGTCTAGGATTACAGACATGGATATTTCAAAGTTCAAATGGACTCTGATAAGTAAGGCCTCATTTATTACACCATCTCAAATCAATTGCACAATAAATAAGAATACATAATATAGAAATAAAGCGGTATCGACACATACCTAGGTGGACAGGTAAACCGGTATATGAATGGGTGGATGAGGGGAGAGATGACAGAGGGATAACAGAGAGATGATGTGTGATGACTGACAGGTGGCTGGCAGACAAGTGGGTGACGGATGGGTGCCAGGTTCCTGCAGAGGAAAAGACAGAATCGCAGCAGAAGAGGCTCTTTTACCTTTAGCGTATCTCCTTCAAACAGCTGGAAACTCCGAGCTCGGAGGTGGATTCCCTTGCCAGCTTCCGTTTCTATTTTATAGATACACTCGTGGTTATTGTCGTAATTGGATGGGAAATTTGGAGACAGTAGTGTTCCTTCATTGCCTTTGACACTTGCTCCACATTCAGCTAAAATTAATAGGACATTAGAAAAAGAGGGTTCAAAAGTGGAATTGTTGATTTTCACAGACTACCCACTTCAACATCATGATCACCCTCTTTCTGCCAGGGTAGGGCTCTCCTTGATGCAGGTTTTAAAACATAGATCAGTGACATTTTTACTGTCCTAGCAGTGGACAGCAAAGCTGCCAGTCACCCCATTTCCAAGGGCCTCAATATTTTACTGGAGGGGCTCTTCCTCCAGGCCGCGGTGTGCTATCTACCGTGCGAGGCCTTCCAGGAGGGAGCACGCTGCTCTGAGCACCCCGCACTGCTGTGTCCCTGTGGGTGACGTCCTCTGCACACCTCACTTCTGCCTCAGGAGAACCCTGCCAGCGCCAGGCACAGCTCTTCTGGGGCCCCTGCATCTCCCTGTACGTACACTGGGTTCCCACCAGGAGGTGTGGGGTTCTTGTCCACTGATGGTGACACTGAGGTGTCTTCCCCACCTCGAAGCAGGAACTGTATTTAACTGGCTGGGAGAGCACTAGGTGGCTGCCACTCTATCCTTCGCTCCTTCCCCGACAAAGGGAGCGGGTAACTGGCCTCTTGCCCCAAGTTTGCACAAAACAAAACCCAAAAGGGTTTTGTCGAGGTAAAAGTGACAATAAGTATAGCTGTTTTCTGTGAGCCCCAAGAAGGTCACTGCTCTCTCAGGGCCGGTTCTCTCATCTGTGGAACGCATGACTGCTCAGGGGTGCCTCACATTCCACACAGGGAGCGCCAGGAAACAACAAAGCTGCTCCACACAGCGACCACGGGAAGGGCATCCGCTGGTCTACAGGCCAAGCTCCGGGCTATGCACAGTGATTTCCAAAAGTCCAGAAGAATGAGTACTAATGTAGAGAATCAAAATCAGCTTGGGGTCTGCACCGGAAAGTGCCACCTCGGTGAAGAACGGACAGGAGGCGCTCACCGGGTGCAAGTGAGAGGAGGCACCTGGGGACTCCGGCTGGCACCTTCTGTGCGCCTGCCTGGACCAGGCGTCCACGCTCTGTAATTCACGCCCCTCCTCTGCTGGCTGTGAGCACAGGCAGTGCCCAGCAAGATCCCCACCCCTGCAGCGGAAACAGCAGGGACCCCAGAGACCCAGGTGGTTCCTGCACCCACGTCCGCGCACGGAGCTGTTGGGGGAGTCAGGCGGGACCAGCCTGGGGCCCTGGGGTCACCAGGTTCAGGGGCAGTGGGGAGAGAAGCAGTGAGGGAGAAGCACAGGGAAATGGAGACCACACAAAATCGCAGTGAAATCTTATACTTCTTAGACATGTATGGTAGCATCCATTACTATTCCCATGTGCTTATAGATCACAATGTTCTGTGAAGCTCATCTTCTACAAAGGTGGGAGAGCAAGGCAACTTTTGGGGTTGACAGTCAGGCTCATCTCCTGGCCTGGGAGCCCTGAGTCCGCTGTGAGCAGGAGTCTCGCACTGAAGAGAAAGGGCTTCGCGCCTCCGATGCTGGGGACATTCACAGGTCACAGCTCTGGGGAGACAGCCACCCACGGGCACGGGGCACACCCGATGTATTTCCGCTTTTATCCTTACTGAAGAAACACAAAACCCAAAGCGAACAAAGAGAAAATCAGAATGTAAAAGGATAGGTCGCCTGGGCCCCTCCCCAGAGTGAGTCACAGGATGCTCCAATTACTGCAGGTGTTGAACTTGGCAGGAATAAAAGAAAATCACTGCACTCTGATGACTGGAATATGGAACTCAATCACAGATATTGGGGATAATTATTTAAGCCTGGGTTTGGCAATGATCAACTAAGGAAACAATTCAAAGTCAACGTTAGGTCCTTCAGGCTATGGCGTTTATGGGTTTTAGAAATACAAGCAATCAAACAACGTGACATACAGTGACAGTGGCAAAGGAAGAAACACTTTCGGCTGGGGACCCTCTTTCCTGGCTGTGACCCCCATTCGTGCTTGCCCTTCGGGACTGTATCCCCTTGTTGTATGGCCCTACTTTGCATTCCACACCGCCAGGTCTTCTGTTTGGTGCTGGTTTTCAGATTTTCCCCCTAAAACTGGCTATCCAGAGTCACTTTTAGTTTGGTTGTTTTTTTGCAGTACTGGGGACTGAATTCTGGGTCATCTCACTGAGTTACATTTCCAACCCTTTTCAATATTATTTTTTTATTTTGAGACAGGCACAAGGTCTCTCTAAGTTGCCCAGGCTGGGTCGAAGTTGTGATTCTCCTGCCTCAGACTCCCAGTGTGCTGGGATTATATGGCCTGCTCACCCAGATGCACCTTGAGAAGGCTGATCTGTAAACTTTAATTTCTTTACATTCATTAAATTAATAATGCAGCAGTCTTGACGGGCAGCTAAATAACCCTCAGTCCCGGACAAGGAAACTGAGGTATGGAATAATTCACAAGCCAGGGCTCCTGCTCAAGGTCACATGAGAAATACAGATGACTTCCCTGATAAGAATGCAAGGGTTCAGGAGCAGAATAATGCTTTTTGTGTCCTAAAAATACTGAACAATTTATAATTAATAATGCACAGTGATGGTCACAATTAACAATAATGAAATGGACAGCAGGTTCTGTGTGCTAGAAGAGAGTGTGTTTTTAAGGACTTGACTGAAAAAGTCACCAGATAACCGCAGCTCATGTTTGCTGTCACCTTAGCACTCTGGACATTAACCAGGAACAAGTTAACCAGGAGACTCCACATGGGGAGACTAGGAAAAAGGACCTAGTGTTTGTGCTGTGCGTGTCCATCGGAGACTTTCGGGCAGATGGTCACACAGTGATGCACACATGACCTTAGGCCATGCCTCTGACACCTTGCCTGCTTCCACAGGGTCCCATGAGATCATCCAGGTGACACTGTCACATGGAACACGTGTGGCCTGAGTGCCCTTGCGTGTGGTTTCCTGATTCCATGGCAAGGTCAACACTGGGGCCAGGTGTCCCAAGCCCTCTGCGGCTCAGTGTTCCCTTTGGCATCGTGGCAGGGAGGGTCAGCACCTCTAAGCTCACCAAGAACTCTGTCGGAGGTGGGGGAGAGAGCACATGGCCAGCATCTCAGGTCTAGGACAAACGGGGTGCCCTGCGGGGTGACAGGGCAGCCGGGTAAAGCACCTTGGGAGAAGCCATGGGGCCTGGGCAAGGTGCCGACTGGGTGGCCTTGGGTTTTCAGAGCCAGGACAGGACCTTACTAAGACAGCCTGTCCTGAAAGCAGGGTGTCTGCAAGGAGGAAATGCTTAAAGGGAAAGCCTGGACCCTAAGGACTCTAGGGAGAAACAGAGGGTGCAGATGTCCCAGGCAGGACTGGGGGCAGGTTCCCAACTGCGAGGTAGAGGAGCAGCCCTGAAGGTCCACAAAAACCGTGTGGCACGAAGCAGCCACCCTTGGAGAAGCTGGGTGTGCAGTTCGTCTTCCTGTCCATCTAGGTATCCCATAGTACTTATTCTTAATTCTGTATTAGTAAATCAACGTAGCGTGGCGATCCATGAGGTAGAAGGCCACACTGGGCCGTCTCACAGGGCAGGAAGGCAGCACAGCAAGGTGGGCTAAGCTGCCCAGAGCACAGGTGGCAGAGCAGAGCCCATGGGACTCTGCGCCATCTGGGGTGGGACGCACCATCGCTGCACGTGACCCACAGGGCTGGCAGGGGACACTTCCCACAGCTCCGGTTCCTGTTTCACAAAATCTTCCCGTCAGCTTGCGAAACCTGTTTTATGAATTAATTTGTTTTCAGATTAAGTTTACTAGGGTGCTAAACTGCCTGCAACACAATATTCAAAGGAAGGAATCACAATGTGTCAAAGAGCCAGAGAAAAATACAGAAAGCCTTGAGACTCTGTCCTAGAGGGAGTAATTAGAGAAAATAATCCTCTACCGTTAAAGGGCAGTTGCTCAGAAAATTACAAAATCGAAGCGATCAAAATGTCAGAAATTCTTTGAACTTGATTCTAGGGACCCATTGTAAGTTTTCATTACCAAAGCAATTAAATGTTTCACTTTTTAAGTTCTTTCAATAATTCATCATAAATTACTTTAAGGTGAATGAATATAATTTTTCTTAATATGAATTATTTGCTCGTGTAAAAAGAATTACTGTAATTAAAATGGAATAGTTATTGAGCGTTTTGCAAGGGAGATAGACTGATTAAATTAAATCACCAAGTCAGAAAGGCGTCAATGGACTTTTTCCATTAGTGCTGTCCGGGCCACCTGGGACACATTCACTGCCCTGGTCCACCTGCGCTAAGCAGACATCCCCCATGGGTGCAGGTGTCAGAGACCTCGGGCCTGGGGAGCCTGGCTTTCCCTCCACCGAGTCAGTGTGAGTTGGCAGACAGTCGCTACTGGGAAAAGGCTTTTTTCTTTGCACTACTAGGGTTTAGATCCAGAGCCTGGTGCCTCCTAGCCAAGTGCTCCACCCGCGGAGCTCCATCCCCAGCCAAAGAAAAGTTATTTTAGTGGTGATATCAATTTATTTATAATTTTATTTTTAAAGAATAGGTTAAGAAACATAACCCTGCAATCTGCCTGTTGAATATGCAGACAGGATTCAAATTCTGCTGCAGAAACCCATCCTGCTCTGCCATCCCAGGACTGAGCAAAACTACATTTCAGACCGTTTCTCCACATAATGCCTGGCAGAAACAGCATCGGCTGTAATGATTACCATGTCCTGGGGCCTCTGAGAATGCTGTATACTTGATAACAATCAATTTAGTTTATTTGCAAAGGGGTGTGCTTTGAAACCAAACAGCCAGGCTAAGAAACAGGGTTGGAAGGAAGTTGATCTTCCTCCCTTAAACCCAAGCTTACTGTGGGGAATGAAACAAATATAAACAAATATTATTTAAACTGTGTTCATCTATATTCACTTATAAAAGATATCTAAGATTACATAAAGTAAATATTATGTGTAACCCATTTATTACATCGGATGTATTTTGTGCTTAATTTAATGTGATTATTGGATTATCTCTTAAGAACCAACAAAAAGTATATTAAAGAAATACATAGAACCTATATATTAACATAGGAAAACAATGTTTAAATAGAATTTATCAAATTATTTAAGCTAAATTTAATTTAGCATTAAAAGAAACTTAGCCGAAATGAAAATGCAGGCAGAGTATTTGTCTTCAGCACCTCTCTGAAACATCTGTATCCCACTGAACAACTGTAGGTCACCCTGCTGACTTTTTCCGTTCCATTAAAGAACTCGTATTTGTCCATAAGTCCTCATTCAGCAGGACGATGACATTTTCACGCATTTTCTTAAGGAATCCGCTCAGCGGGCCCTTCTCTATACTTTTTGAGTGTGGGAAATGCAGCCCTGGCATTCTTTGTCTGAAAGTTTTGTGCTCACTGACTCTGAGGTGATGATGCAGGCCCACGTGGACACTGCTCACCCCGCTGGCATGGGCCGCAGGCAGCTCTCAGGGCAGCGCCGTCTGCACACCTGCCTGGGCCGCATGTAACCCTGGCCTTCGGGCGCGGGTCACGGGCTATGTCACCTCAGGGGAGGGGCTCCCGGGCACACTTGTCTCTGCCCTGTCTGCAGCTGGCTCTGCTCCTCCTGCTCCTCCTGCTGAGAGCCAGAGGACAGGACAAGGAGCCCAGGGCCGAGGAGGATGCCTGAGTCACAGAGCCACTGTTCGGGGGCCAGGGGGTCGAGTGCACAGGGCTTCCCTCAGAGCTTCCTTCTATAGCCTCTGCTGGCCCATCCTGGGCCTGAGCAGCCGCACAGAGGGAAGGCAGGCGTCCACAAGGCTGGGCTGATGTTTGACCCAGTGGGAACCGGCATGGACCAGGGTGGGTAGAGGTGACACCCTGATGTCACCTGGGCTGGCTGGAGCCCCTATAATTAAGGGCGTCACAGCTAGACTGCCGCCACACTCCTGGAAGCCCAGCACTCTAGGAGGCTGAGGCAGGAGGATGACAAGTTGGAGTCCACCCTGGGCAACATGTGATTCTGTGAGAAACTGTCTCAAAGGTTTAAAATTGGGGGGTGGGGAGGACTGGGATTGTAGGGGTTGCGTCTCAGTATGAAGACCCCCATTCAATCCCCAATAAACAGCAGCACGTGTTAAAGGCTCAGCCGAGGAAGGAGGAGAGGCCCAAGTGCCATCTCAAGGCTGTACCCTGCTTAGACCTGGACCCCAGCTGCCCTGACCCTGACCCTGACCAGGGTCTCTGAGACCCCAGGCCAAGCCCTTTGGCACTGGGCCTTGGTGCGCTTGTCCTTAAGGCAGGGAGGACAGCAGCCAGACCGGCTCCGTGCACAGCGCTGTCCTGGGTGGGAGGACCAGGCTGCCAAGTGCTCACTCATCACCTGGCCACCCTGGGCCCTCAGGGGTGACAGTGACTGGTCCCACCTCATTACCGCACATCTCCCACTCGCGTGCAAATCCTGAGTGGCAGGATAAAGAGCCCGAGCCTTGTGGATCTGGGCAGGGCAGACACAGCAAAGGAGCAGTGTGACCCTGCTCATTAGCGCCAGACTTCTCGCAGCACGCTGGTTTCCCGGTGGTGGGAGATGTTCCCGGTCACTGTTAGGGTTTCCGTCTTGGGCAGCAGCAGCTCCCTGCACCTCTGGGAGTCCTTGCATCATGCACAGAACATTGTATCTGACATTTTTTCCCCAAAACTGTTTGCAAAACTTGTATCTGGTGGGCCGGGGATTTAGCTCAGTGGCACCAGTACCGAAAAAAAACCCAACAAAAAACAAAACTTGTATCTGGTTCTCAAATACACAGTTTAACAAGGAGAAGTGAGAATACCTGCTGCCAGGGACAGCTGGGTGGCAGAAATGTGCACATGTCTGGCCAGAAATAAGGACGAGGGCCCGGCGGTCCCAGTGTCCTTCTGTCCGCGGTGAAGTCCTGACTATGACCGCACTGTGTCTGAGTCCCTGGTGCTCCTGGGGCCCAGACAATCGCAGAGACTCGGGTGTGGACAGCCGGCCGCGCTGAGCCTGTGATGCCTCCCAAGGGAAGGGAGCCGCACCATCGGGGCTTCCTGCTGCCCCTCTCCTGGGCTGCGGACACCGGGCAGGGAGGCACAGCGGGGGAGGAACCACGGTCCATTTCTAATCCACCCCCTTGCTTCGTGCAGCACCAGGTGGTTTTCCCGTAAGCTCAGGAACCCACACTAAGCAGTAAGTCAGAGACAGGGCAGCCAGGTCTCAGGAGCCCTGCGCCGGCCACACTGCCCCCAGGAGGGTCCCCCTTCCCCACCTCTCGGAGCAGCAGACACCAGCCCAGAACAAGCACCCCGGAGTCCAGCCCCTGGCTGCAGCCAGGGCCCAGCACCCTCCTGGAGGCCCCTGCACCACAGACACCATGCTGCCCCTCCTCTCGGGGCTGCCGGCTAGGTTCTGGGGAGAACTTACCGGGAAACCCGTGTCCAGACTGGCTGCGGTGCTGCCCTCCCAGTGACAGGGGAGACGGTGGCCCTCCTCTGCTGTCCTTGCCACCATACCAGCAGGGACTCGCTGCCTGTGCTCTCCGTTTTCCTATGGACCGGGGCTTCACACTGAGCTACAACCCCAGGCCTTTTTATCTATTTTGAGACAGGGTCTCTCTAAGTCAGCAGCCTGAGCTTCCACCTGTGATCTTCCCGCATCAGCCTCCCAGAGTGCCAGGTTACTGGTGTGTGTCACATGCCCAGCTCAGCGACGGCTCGTGCTCCAGGTAGTCACCAGGGCACTGCTGTGCCCGCAGCATGGCCTCAGCTTGTTTATTCCCAGATGGCTAAGGACACTCATGTTTTCCCCTTCGTAATCAGGCTTGGCCTCTTCTCAGATCTGCTCCCTCCGACGCAGGCCTGGCCCCTCCTGCCCCCCTGCACCCTGGATGAATGAAATGAAGCGTGTGGCCACCTACCCACACACCTTGGCAGAGGTGCGCTCCACACACGGCGGCCCCCACCCAGGCACGTCAGCTCGGCCGCACCTTCGAGGCGGTAGCCGGGGAAGCAGGAGAAGATCAAGGTGTCACCCACGCCGAAGTGGAAGCCGATCCTGCGGCTGAAGGCAGGGACGCCCGGGTCGTCACAGGGCTCCAGGTCGTACTCTGGGACAGAGAGATGCAGTGAGCAGGGCCAGGAAACACTCAGCGGTCAAGGCCGGGACTGAAAAAGAGCTGCTCTGGAAAGGAAAACCCACCCGCACGTCTTCTGACACTGCTAAAGCTGTTAGACGGCTTGTTGGCCTTTGTATTTTACAACAAATGGCAGCAATCTCAGTATATTTAAAACACAAGCGTACGTGTGCGGTATAGCAGAACAAGACGACTCACTTCAGAACTTTCCCCCTAGGAGCTTGAAATTATTCTGCTAGGGTTTAGTTGCCACAGCCGGTTCTTGGACAGCTTTAAAGGTGCTTTTTCATAGCCAAGGTGGGAGTGTGAGATAAAAACCGCATCACGTGTCGGTGAAAGCTTATCGCAGCCGAGCTCTACTCTGAAATACACCTCCGCGTAGAGCAACAGCTATGCTCCGTCTATAAACCTCGTCGTGCTCACTCACAGGCACAGAAGATACTCTGGTAGCGGCCTGACATTTCTGTGTGCAAAGCGCAGTGCCCACAGCCACCGCCTGTGCTGCCTCATTCCCAGCAGCCCTCTCTTGCGGCTTCCTTGGTCCCAGCCCATCCCGAAGCCCACGGTTTCCTCCCAGGGGACTCGGGAAGAGGGTGGGCAGCTCATCTGCTCTGTAACACCCAGGGTGTCCCGTGGGCTTGGCCTGGAAATGCCATCGGAACAGGGATGTGGGGAGCTGGGGGGCTGCAAAGGCCAACTGGGTGATGAGCCTGTTACAAAGCATCGGAACGCAGACCCCTGGTTCAGGTGGTGGTGTGGAAAATGTCAAGGCTAGGCCACTCTCTGAGGACACTTCCTCTCCTTTGTGAATTCCAGCGTCATCTTTCGAGGTGTCCAAAATCTAAATTTCAGATTCAGTGTTTGCAATGAACATGCGAAGTTCAAAATTTTTTTCTTAATAACTTTTGGATCTGCTCTTTCTGTTTTACTTCTATTCTATCGGATCCTTCATTCACATCTCACAGGTGGACCTTTGTGGGAGCTTCACCGTGCAGGCCTCTACCCCATTATCCCTCCCTCTCACCTAGCCTACAGGTTGACCTCCCAGGAACTGCTCCCTATACTGACCTGGTCTTGCTCCTCTTTGGGGCAAAGCATTTCCAGGTATCTACGGTATCCAAGCATCCAGAGTCATACCACCCTGAATGGGCCTGATTTCAGATATCTAATGTATCCAAGCTGAGCATTCTTGGAATATTTTATACATTTTACCTTATTTTAATATGACCCAAGAAGAAAAGACATAAGTCATTTAATTGAAATCAGCACTTACTGAAAACCTACCATCCACAGAACAAAGACAGAATTTCCAGGAAATACTAAAACAAAAGCATCATAATGCAGCAAACTTGACCTCATACCTACCCAGTAGGCTTCTCCTTCTAAGGATATATTGTGTACTGTCTATTAAAATCAAATACTTTCTGTGATTTCTTTTAAAACGATTGAACTGCAATAAAGGAAAATAATATGTTCTTTTATGCTTTTCTCACTGCATTATACAAGGACAGTGCTGCAGCCTTCCAGTTCTTGGTTTTGCAGATGTCCTCCTTTCAGAGTTAAATGACAGCCTCGGGAAGCCCCTAACAGAGAGGAGGCCGGAGGGGGTGCCATGGGTGGGAGGTGTGTGTCACACACCCACCTGCACGGTTACCCAGGTCCTCACTCTGGCTGTCACTCGGTCACTGATTTAGGGTGCACATTCCCATTAACCCATCAGATATGAGGGCTATGCATCATACCCAGGGCTCCACCCTCCTTCCAACTGAAACAGTTGGTCTCTAGCCTTTCTCTTCTCTCTTCCCCAGTTTATCACTTGGCTTATTCTCACCAGCATAGAAATGCGTGAGGGTGCCCATTGTAAAAGGAGAAGCAGCCTGGCCAGCTGACAAATCAAACTAACAAAACCACTCTGCTGACACCACAGTCACTTTGAGGCTACTCTGGGAAGGCGGAAAGGCTGTGTGTGTCTCCTATGGTCCTGTTCTCTCTTCTGGGTCCCTGTCCACTTCCTCCATCCAAGCTCACCACCACAGCCCTCCCAGAGCTGCTGTGACCTCAGCTATAAACCAGCTAGGGTCCCCGTGCTCTGCCCTTCAGCCTTTCAGTCAGATGAGGCTTTCGTTTCTCAGCATCTAGGACTCCACTTCCTCCTCTCCCTGGCCGCCTTCCCAGTGGGCGATCTGCCTGCTTGTCCACTCTGCCAGAATGCAGAGCCCAGCTCCGACTTTGACCTCTCTCCTTGCATCTCTGCTTGCTCTCCAACACCCTCTCTCCTGTCTGTATAGTCACTTTGAGCACTGATGACTTCCAATTTTTTCTTCCAAATTTCACCTCTTTTAGAACTCAAAACTCTTTGACAATCCCCTTTGGACATACACCTCAATTTTCCAGGAGACAAATACTCTCTTTCCCCCAACCTCATTCTGTGTTTTCTGACTAAAATGCCACCCAGGTCTGCTCTTTCTGAGTCCGGAGGCCTCTCCGCCCAGCCAGACCAAGGAACTCCTCCTCCTCTGGCTCTGCCACCGAGCCCGAGCCTCCTGCGCTCTCTCCCACTGGGATTATCCTGTGACAGTTTCCATGGGGACCACGCATCCCTCAGAACGGGCCTCAGGAGAAGTCTGCTCACTCAGCCTCTGTGCCCCTCCAGTGGCTTCATGCCACACTCAGAATGAGCGTGCTCACCCCCGAGTGACCTCACAGGAACCGGCCCAGCCCTGGCTCCACAGACAGCCATCTCCGTCTTGGTCTTCGGCTCTGTCTGCACCCTTAAACTTGCCAGCTCCCCAGAAGCTGCTCTTCCTTCAGCTGGGAGACCCTGGCCCTGTGCTGGCCACAGAAAGTGGACTGAGAGTGGACACATGTGGTTCTCGAATGTGAGGGAAATAAGCACCCTGCTTAGAGAAGAGAAAGGCTGTGTGCCACAGGCAGTGTTGGCGTGGACTGAAGGAGTTTGCCTGGGGCAGTCTGAAGAGAATGCATGGACCGAAGAGAGGGATGCAGAGTAAAGTGGTCCAGACTCTCATCTTCCTCTGGAAAAGACCGAGGACTTGTGCGAACTGAAAGTTGGTAACCAGAAGGGAAGTGTGGCAGGCAGTGGGGGGTGTTGGGCTGCACAGACCCTGAGCAGGATACAGAGGGACACACTCCCCCAAGGTCCCCATGGGCACTGCACTGACACTGACACTGCTGGCAAGGCTGCTCTGAGGACGCCTTTGAGAAAGCCCGGAGGAAACTGCACTAACGGGAAGATGCAGATATGAAAGCACACGGATGCTGTTTCTGTTCAGCATCACAAAGGTCCCCCGAAGGGGGAATGCGCCTTTGGATAATAAAGGTACTATTCCCTTGGATCCCTAAAAGAATATCACCACATTTACACCAATGGTGACTGCTTGCTGCCTGGTTTCAAGGCAAAACCCTGTTGCAAGAAATGATTCCCTCAGGGTATCTCAGGAACACATTGCCCTTTGCAGTTGCTTTAGTCCAAGGTGTCTCCTTAGGTTTTTACAAGGCTGGCTGTGTGAGTGTCCTTACAACGAGATTTCTTCTGCAAGCTTTTTGCTTTACATCCACTGGTTGTGTGTAAATGAATTCTGGTAAATGTTCACAATTGCTTGCACTTTGGCTTCAGCACTAATTAATATTTTAAAAACTGCCCCCAAAGAGCTCCATAGATGCAGAAGAGCGTGCTTTCCTATCCGTGTCACTTGCTTGTATAAAGGATCTTATGAAAAGTACTGCCCTAGATTCCACTCTGAATCCTGACAGTTGCTATGATCTGAATGTGTCCCTCAAATGCATGTTTTGGAAAGTGTTTCGTCTGGTCCAGTGGGATTCATGCCATTATGACAGGGCTTGAGGTGAGCTTGGCTCCATCTCTCTGCTCTTCTTCCTGCGAGCACTCAGCCCCTGTCCCCTCATGTCTCCCACCTCCCACTATGTGAGGATGCATGCAGAGGCCCGCTGCACGCTGGCCCCTAGACCAGGGCTGGCCCAGCCCGCGGGGCTGTGAGAAACAAGTCCCTGTGCTTGCTCTATCACCTTCTCCGGCGTTCCAGGAAACCTGCACTATGGGACTCAGGCAGCGATCAGGACACTTGTCAGTTGCATGCTGAAAGCAACAGAATTAAGAAACAGATGGGACAAGGCGAGAAAAATTCACAGCTACTCAGGAAGAAATCTGTGCGGGAGGTCCACAGATTCACACCAGTGCCATCTCTGTCCTCAGAGTTTCTGTTTCAGCTCATTTTGGGTCATGATCAAAAGACCAGCAGAGGGGCAATCTTCTCACAGAGACACTAATTGGGATCCACTAGGGGACATGTGTGGAGGGAGGGATTTAGGTATTAGTGCTAAGAAGATTTGAGTATTTGATACATGCAGTGGCCAATTTCATGATTACTCCCTATTACAGTATGTTTCCAAGAACTGAAGTAGTCCCAGCCAGCCCTTAAGGCTGCACATACCCAGTGACATAGTGAGAAACATCAGCAAAGTAGTTTAAGATAAATGGCATCCGGTGGGAATTAGAGAGAAGTCCCTGAGGGGTGGCGTCAGAGATGGCGTTTCATTCTATGTAATGCAGTCATCATGCAGTATTTAGTAAGCCATGATTAAGTTCTTATTATGTCCAAGGCAGGTAGAGTGATGCCAGCTATGAGAAAGAAGAATAACAGAGACCTTCCTACCAAGAGCTGTGCTTCACCAAGGAGATAAGATGAATACTCAAACATTATAGCAACTAATTCTACAAGAGCCATGGAAAGTCATTAGGGAATTCATAGGACCTTAAAAGCAGAAGTCACATGCGTTTGTAGTAGCCAAGGACCACTGTAAGAAACTATATCACATCTGAGCTGCAAAGAATGGTGGGAAAGCAGATTTTCCAGGGCAACCTATACACAGAAGTCAACATAATCATTACACCATTAGTAACTGCAGAGTCACAGTCCCCTGCTGGCAGTGGCATGGGGTGGGGAAACGTATGCTGACACCACAGCCCTGACCATTATTTGCTCACTAAGCCCTGTTTGTCACATGATCAAATTTATCCTGCATGTGTGTCTTCAGTTTTTGGAAATGTTTCTCAGTAATTTTTTTCTCACCTGTAAAATCATATCACCTATGACATAAAACTATACAAATTAAGCAATGCAACCAATGCAAGTAATGTCTGATGCAACATCAACCCTACACAAATATTATCTCTCTATTACAATAAAACTCTTAAAAGCCACTTAATTATGGGTGGCATTTAGTCGCCCTGTGTGATTGTAGGAAAGGGAATAAAAGCCTGTCCTCCCTCTGGCCGGGTGTCTACCCAGCTTCCACTGGTGGCTGTCCAACAATCTGGGCCTCCACTGGAGGGGAGTCAGCAGGATCAGGGACACCTCACGCTGAGGTCACCTCTGCAGAAGAGAAGCATCCTCAAGGAGGACACAAGTGACCAAGAGAAACAAGCCAGGTGGACTTTTCAGAAAAGATGCTTTATGTATAATGTTCAAAGATGACGATTTGCAAATCTACCAGGGCACGTGCTTTGTGGCAGCCAGGGGCCCTTGCACCCTGCCTGGTGGAGGCTCAGCTCCTCTACACCACACCAGGAAGGGTGTCTCTAATTAAAACTCCATGCAGAGGGAAACCAGAGATAGCAAGGTCATTACCAGAGCCGAGAAACGTCCAGCAGACCAGCATACCTGAAAAGGTGATGTTGAAGCCCTCATAGGAAATGGAGAAGTCTGAAATGAAGCGCAGCTGAGCAGTGAAGTTTCCAAACAAGCCAGCCTTGATGGTGTGGGGCAGCACAGAGCCTGTGAGCCTGGCCACCGGCTGGGAGAAGCTGCCGTCCTCGGTGATGAGGAGGAAGTCGTGGGAGCTCTCCAGGTGGAAGGTGTGGAAGACCATCTGCACCCCTGAGATGCAGACAGGCAAGGACAGTGGTCAGGAGAGGCAGTGTGGTGGTGAAGTCACCACTCCCCAGCACAGGGACATCAAAGCATTAAATACCATTTTAACATGTAACTCTGACCTTGAAGCTTGAGAGAAAAGTGCATAGAAAAAGGACATTTTAGAAATGAAGAAAGAGGAAATAAAAATAAATGTTCAAATATGTGCTACAGATAGAAGCAGATGTAGATCTGGACAAACAGATGTCCATGTAATGTGTGTGGGAAGAACGTGGACACAGAGTTAGAGGTAGGTGGAGATATGGCACAGATGCTGCTATGGATGCACACGGGTACAGACAGACGTCCACACAGACACAGGTGCATACAAGTGTGCAGGTGTAGATATGGATCTAGGTGTAGTTGCACACACATGTGGATGTTAATGTAGACTAAAGGACAGATATAGATGGAGATAGAGACACAGGTAACTCAGGTAAGGATGTTAATGATGCTTGCATTCAAGAATGGTCACTGGGCTCACAGAGCATTTGTCTCAGGGGGACAAGGAACAAAATAAATTTTCCATTTGTGTTGACCTGCCCTTCAGAACATGTAGTTGGTAGCTCCAGCGTATCAAAGGCATGACTGAGAGGAACTGCCCTTGAGGGTATAGCTGTACCAACCAACCATGCTTGTGCCCACTTAGACACCACACTGAGCATTTCTTCTGAATGTCTATGCTGACGTGAATACAGTTAACTCTGAACACATCTCTTTAAGTAAGCATATTTTGCTGATTCAAAACACTTGGTCACTCATGATCTGTTTCTTTATTCTTAGTATCCTTTATGGCCAAGATCTTTCATATACATTCATGTCAGCATGGTGTAAAACAGAACATATAATAAAATAGGAGAGTTTACCACCAAACTGAATTTAAATACATGTAAAAAAATAAAGTCCACATAATATTTATGTGATCAAAATTCTAAATAGCTTTTCTAGAAAGGCAAGTTTAGCTAGGTATAAAAGACACAGAATTCACTCCTAAACTCACTGTTGACATTTCCTGCACACACATTTCCCCAGCTTTTCCATACTTGTCTGTAATGTGGGGACAATGATGTCTGTTTAGGAAGGCATCAATGGATTATGTAAAAATTGGTTATTTATTATGTGGAATAATAGTGGGTAAACTTTTAAATGAAAGGCAAGTACACAAATTTTCTCAGACTTGTAAAATAAGCTATAAGGGTAGAAAATTGCCTATTTTCTAATCACACATGTGGATTTCACATGTTATTATTTATTGTTGGCCCTGTTCCTCAGCATTATACCTGATTTCCAGTCCATATTTACATGCATACAGTTAGGTTATGTGATAAGGAGCAAAACCAGGAATATAATTTTGCTTGTAGCTTTGATAATGTAAAGATCATTTTTCTTCCAGAATCTTATAAAAATAAAAATTAAAGACCAAAATATATATAAGGAAATCAGTTCTTATTTTTGTTCTTTTCTACACATTAGTATTTTTCTGTTCCCTGTTATTCCTCATTCATTATCCTGTGAATCGGAGGCCTGTGTCATCATCTTACCCTTTCCATGAGACACTTCGATGGTCCACGTGCAGTTGAGGGAGTTGGGATAAAAGTCTGGAAACCCAGGAGAAAGGACTGTCCCGCTCTTCCCGTGGATGTAGCCACCACACAGAGCTTAAAATAACAGAGATAATCCCAGTGTCAAAGTCTTGCAATGATTGCTGGGGTGAAACACTTAAAATAGCATTGAATTTGCAATAGGACTAACACAAGATCCAATGCCACATTCATGAAAAAGACGAACAGAGCTTAGAGTTTATTTTACTCAAAATTCTAACAAGTCAGGGCACAGGGGGTGTCTGAACCAGCACCAAACCTAAGGCAGAACAAAGCACAGCAGGAATTGGGACCAGGTTTGAGAAGCACAAAGCTGCGGACATAGCAGATATAGGCTTCTTCTCAGCTGTTCTATGAGTTTAAACCCCAAGGAACTAATTTTCCACACTTAAAACTAACTCAGTGTCATTTCTGAAGGAAGAAAAAGATGATTATGTCATAATAATTTCAATGGGAAAGTAGTGATAGGCTGTTAACACAATATAGGGGAGATCTTCCAGTGTTAAGAGTTTTCTGATGCATATATTTATTAATTTTAAATGCATAATAATTGTACACATTTATGAGGTACAATGTGATATTTCAATACACAAATACCATGTACAATGATCAGATCAGGATCACTGGCATTCCCATCACCACACACCCACACAGGTGCAGTGTTTCTTTTGTTGGGAACAGTCAACAGCCTCTCTGCTGGCTATTCTGAAATATGGACTAATTGTTGTCAGTCATGGATAGACATCTGCCCCGCTGTGCTGGAAGACACTGGACACATGCCCTCCTGTCCCCTGAGGTCTGGGCAGCCTTTGAAACTGCTCTTCTCTTTGCTCTTTCCAGGACACCATCTTCTTTGGGTTTCCAGCACTGGCAAGGATGCAGAGAAAGAGGACTCACACACATGACTGACAGGAGTGTAAACTAGCACCATCACTGTAAAAACAGTACGGTGAATCCTCAAAGTATGGAGGTAGAATTACCACACAGTGCAGCAACTCCAGTAATGATTGTGGATCCAAGGGAAAGGACTCAGTACGTGGAAGAGAAAGCCATACTCCCATATTGATTGCACAAATAGTCACCACAGCAAGAAAGGAAACAACCAGTGTGTTCATCCACAGGGGGCGACAGATGGAGAGGGGGAGAGTTCGATGTTGTAAAAACAGAATGGAATCCTGTTATTTCCATCTGTCTGAGCTGGAGGACGCTATGCTAAGTAAAATCATCCCAATGCAGAAATACCAGGGCCGGGAGTTCCCAAAATGTGACTAAGTTCCCAGGCTCTGATGTTTGAGCAGATCAAACCTGAGCTAGGTGCCTACCTTTCATATAGGAGCCTGGATTCCATGTTGAAGGCTGACAAAGTGTACATGAGACCCCAGCACAGTGAATGTGGACACAAATAGGGTGACCAAGGACAGAGAATCTCAGTCACTGGCTCAGGGGACAGGGGCATTCCATACAAGAACCTAAGCAGAGTGGCAGAGGGAACCAGATAGAATGTTTAGCTGAACATGGAAACTGCTCACCAGTCACTTTGATCTGTCTGTGCTATTAGCATAAATTAGCAAGTTCACTTCTCTCATTTTTGTGAAGGATTTAAGCAAAAGGAATTAAAAATTTTATATAAAATTTAGATCCTATGTATCCAAAGTTGCTGATAGCCTGTACCTTAAGAGCATATTCTACATAAACTGACAGAATCTATTCATATCCAGCTATATTTAAAAATCATACAATCCAAGTGCTTTATTTCATCCTCTGTCCTGATGTCATCAAGGAAAATTGTTTGACTATCTACTGGGGAGCACCCAGAGAGGGAATGTGTACTGACTATGTGACTTTATCCATGCACACGGGACAAAACCCAGAGTGACCAACCAAGGCCTGTGATTCCATAGAGGACGAAATCGGAAAGAACACTGCAGAAAGATGAGCCCCAGTGCAGATACAACACCATCTCAACCACTCAGTATGGAGATTTTGCATGAACTTGGTACACAAAGCCTACATTTTTTATGGAAAAGGGAATTTGAAGTACTGAGAATGAAGCTGGTATTCTCATTTAATATTGAAGAGCAGAAAGGAGAGAATAACATTAAACCCTATTGTTGTGTCCATATGGGCCTTGGCTTATATTCATAGACAAGGCCCCATTCCCTGGGGAGAGCTGCAAATTTGGCTGCATATGATTTGAATTACATGAAGCTATTTCTTCCTGCACTGTAGAGACTTTTCTGAATAGTTATGAAAGACACAGAAAAATTTTACTTTTACCTTCCTTAAGGCTATAATTTCTTGGATTTCACTTTTCTATTTATATTACTGGACCCACAAGACCCCCAGCTACACCGTTACAGGAATGCCTTGGAGGGACATGAACCATGCAGAAACCAGAAGAGAGAAGAGGTGACACAGCTGAGATCCCAGGTGAGTGCCCATTATTCCAGCTCTGCCTGCCCTGACTTGGATCTGTTCAACCCGCAGCATGTGCTTCTACCTTTCAAACAGTCTTTTATGCTCTTGCGCATACAAAACAAATAAGACAGGGAAGTTTTCAGTATACCAAAGTTTATAATTTAATGAGGAAGGCAAATAGTTTATTTATAAATCCTCAGATAAGCAGGTATGACTCATTCTAAGAACAAGACACTAGTTTACTTTCAGAACTCTGCAACGTGTGCTCATAAAAACAAAACAGAACATGAAAGGAGGGAAGAGGAGGCTGGACTATGAGGCAGCAGAGCCAGATGGTGCCATGGATGTCCTCTGGCAGGATGGCAAACACTGAATGCAGGGTAAGGAGCTGGCAGCAGTGTAGGAGGCCGGGAGCAATGCCATGTGACCCACTGCCCTTAGGCTGCCCTTCATCCCTCCACTGGGGTCTTGGGTGCCTGCTGCTCTTCTACATGAAGCTGAAGGCCACCTTTGCTGCGGGAATCACTGTGCCCCACCACTGCCATGCTGCTTCTGCCCCATCACCCCTAAGACCCTGCCAAGAGTCTTCCTTTAAGTAAGCTGAAGTCAGTTATGGCCCTGAAAGTTGGATTTAAAGGATCTAGCAAGTTGGTTGCTAAGCATCCACTTGGCTGCATTGGAGAAAGGCAGGAAGTGAGAACTGTCAGAGGTGGCAGCCATTTTCTGCGAGGGAGTCTCCTTGGGAGAGGGAGGAATCCACCTTGTCAGGCTCTCCTGTCTGCTGGAAGCCCACATTCACCCCACTGTGAGTTCACCCAACTCTTCCTTAAAATGTGAGGTCTTCCAAGTTGATGAACCCAGACTGGATTTCCACTGCGGCTGGATAAGGAAGCACCCTTGAAGTCAGGTGCCCTCCCCTGCACCCTGCACGCTTCTCGGTGCCATGCCTGCCTGCCCCCAGCTCCCCTTCTTTAACGGCTGTGTTTCAGGTCCATTTTGTCCAGTCCCAGAGGTCCTGCACACTTCTTCTTTGAAGAGATCACCGTGAGAAAACACACAGTCTTGGGCCTGATTTCTTTTCATCCATCATGACCTTTCTCCTCTTTCTTTTTGCCATAAACAGTGAACACAGTTCACTGACTCAAAGCAAAATGTGCTGAGGACCCACAGTAGGCAGTGCTTGCACTCATTCATTTAAGCATTTTCTGATCCTGGAGCTGCCTCCTCAAAAGGAACTTGGAAGCCCTGTGGTGAAGGAGATGGTTGCTGGGGCAGCAGAACAGGGACCCCAGGCCAGCCCCTTCCCCCCTCAAACCCCTCCCAAAGGAGTGTCCAGCTTCAAAGCCCTCCACCGGCTGTGCTCATTCCCCCAGCAGCAAGCTCACCTCAGCCCAACCCTCCTGCTCCTTCGTGCTTCACCTCCCAGCCTCCACTCCCTTCCCTTCTGCTCGATCTCACCCTCAGTGATTTGCCCAGGCATCTATGTCCTGGGCCTTCAAGGCCCCACATTGTCACTCTTTAAGTTTTACATTCAAAAAGTAAAATTTTCATACCCTTACCCTCAGCCATGTTTCCTGTGTTCTACAAAGCACTTATTTCATTGTGTGATCTAACAAATGCCTTGCTTTCACTAGGCTGATGAACTGTAACTTTTTCACTGTGGGGCTGCAGATACAGTAGTGCCTGGAAAATGACTGTGAAAAAAGTAACCATTTCACAGAAGTATTTGTGAACGCAAAGTGATCTCCCTGAGATGCCCCTGCACTGGTCCTCCACCCAGGGAGAGGTGGTTCAAGCGGCACAGGGCACTTCGGATCTGCTGAGCTTGGATCTTTTGTTTAGGGTAATGTAAAATATTCTACATTAGTCTGATTTACTTTTTCCTTCCTAAAGCTATGACTTTTTAAGGGTTTGAATATCCTATGATGTATGGTTTGCTGCAATAAAAACCCATGGGATTGAAGAGACGGTTTGAGATTTGAGAGGGCTAAGAAAGCAGTGCTTGAGAGTTAGAGGAAAACAATCAACCAGAATGGACTGAAACTCTCACGTCTAACTCTCCTGGACTTAGAAGATTTATTAATAGCCTTTTATCACAAATTCATCATTTCTGAAACCCGTTCCACTGTCCCCAAACCAACAATTATGTTACCAATCTCCTTAGCTGATTTAAATTCTAAATTTACATAAACTTAAATTGGAAGACAATACAGTAATACCTCAGCTCATGGATGCTTCTGTTTGCAAACAAGAGCATTTGGCAGAATTTTGCTTCCATCTGCAAACTCTGCATCCACTGATAAACACGACCAGGGCCACCTCCCTCAAACTGTGAGACAGTGAAGTTCATCAACCAAAGTACCACTGCACACAACATGCATTTCTTTTCTACAGCCAACACTGTAAATGTTAAAGACAAACTTTACAGAACTGCATATGAGACAAAATGAAGGTCAGGAAAGGTGTGAGGGTGAAGACCTGGGCTTGGCTTCGAGAAGGTGGCTCAGGCTGAGGGCAGCCTGTCCCGAGGGATGAGAACAGGTCACTGACAAGGCGGGAGCACGTGAGGGAAACTCAGTCGGGTGTGAGGCGGAGGGAGGAAGAGGACAGAAGAAAACGAGCCGATTGAGAATATGAAGTTCCTGATATTGAATCAGTAACCATGGATGGTATTTCAATGCACAGGATCGTGTAAGGTTGTCATGCATGGAGAAGAATCCAGCTCAGAATTGAAATGACTGATCGCAGCAGATTAGCAGTCCCTTGCTTGCAATCCTCTCTGCAGTTCTAACTGGAGAGCCAGGACCCGTGAGGACTACCCTGCAGCAAGCCAGGTGGCTTCATGCTCACAGGGATCGGGGGACTTCAGCTGGCCGACTCCACAGCGAGACTGGGAGCCTGCAGCAGAACTGGGCCCAGCCATGCTGTTCTGGTGCCTGCCCATCACCAGATGCAAATACCCAGGGGCAGCGGCTCACGTGCACTCCATTCCCAAATCCCCCTTTGTCTGTAGCGCAGCACTTGAAAAAGGAAAAAGCAATTACAAACACACAATAGCATGTAGTAAAGCCCTATGGCCTGCATGTGAGCAGATATTCAATAAAATGATTCCTGTGACTAGCTTGCTTTATAGCAGATTTTAGACATTTAATAAAATATTTCGATTCACCTTCACTCATCCATGGACATATAAGCATTTTTAAGCTCATGTGTAACTGAATTGCAGCATTCAAACAGTGAGTGGTATTAAAGTTGTTTTTAGTATGGAACCAGGAAATGTGGCAAATGTTTGTATATCCTATGTGATATTCTCAGGTTTTACAAAATTTTGTTTTATTTTTAAATTTTTTAAAAAATTACTTTTTTGGTACATACTAATACCTACTTATGGGGAACATCGTGGTGTTTTGATACACGCATATATTGTGTAAAGGTTAAATGACGCTATTGAGTAAATTCATCACCCGAAACATTCATCAGAATCTGTGGTAAGATCATGAAAACCTTGTCTCCTGGTTACTTTGGAACATTCCCTACAGACCAGCCGGTCCTGACTTGCTGTAACTAGGGACCCACCGACCTGTTCCCCTTTCCCCTCTCCCCACCCTCCAGTCCCAGTGACCACGGCTCCACTCTATTCCAGGGGCCCGGCTTGGCAAATTCCTCATGTCAGTGAGCTCTGTGGGACTGAGTTTCTGTGCCTGGCTCATTGCACTCGATATAATGCCTTCCAGGCTCACCCATGTTGCTAAAAATGCCAGGATTCTGTTCTTCTTTTGTTTGTTTTTAGAGAGAGGACTTCCCTATATAGTCCAGACCGGCCTTGAACTCGCTATGTAAACTGGCCTTGATCTCACGGTGATCCTTTGGCCTCAGCCTCACAGTGCTGGCATTACAGGAGTGTGCTGCCACACTCAGCTTTTAGGATTCTGTTCTTTTTATGGCTGAATGGTATCTCACCATACTTGCACATTTTCTTTACCCACTGGTCTGCTGGTGGACCCTTGGGCCGACCCCAACATCTGCGCTTCTGTGAATAGTGCTGCAAAGAATGCCCAGTGCAGATGTCCCCTCAGCACACGGATGTCCTTTCCTCTGGACGTGGCCAGCACTGGGACTGCTGGGTCATCTGTCAGCATAGTTTCACCTCCTTCAGGACTCTACATTGCATTGTTTGCCATGCCCACCATCGATCCAAATGGTTTCTCTTTTCCATTCCCACTGGCACTTGTTATTGTCTGTCATTTGGGTACAGACATTGAGACAGGTGTGAGGCCACATCTCCCGGTGATTTTGAACTGCATTTTGTCCTGTGACACTTGGCCTCCTGCCTCTTCTCTAGGAAGACTGAGTTCATTCTAGAATTGTGATCCACAGCAGGGGCAGGAGAAATGCCTCAGCTGGCTCCTGACAGCAGGATGATTTTCCACATCGCCACTAAGCAGGCAGCACAGCCTGTGGACACACTGCCTTGCCAGCTCAGGGCCCCTCTGCTGCCTTCCTCTGTGCCCGGTGACCAATGGCTCTGCACAGGCCTAGCTGGTTGCTCAATGCTGCTCCCCAGAGCCCAGTGCCCCTGTGCTGGTTTTGAGTCCTCCCCCTTCCCAGAGTAGCCCCCAGCCAAGCTATGCCACCTACCTGTACTCTGTAAATGCCACGTACTGTTTGGATGAGCACCTGGCTGGCAAAGGGGAACAGTTTTAAGTGGTGTGTGGCGGAGCGTAATTCTTACAGAAACCCTCTTATGCGTGTGCATTCTTTTAAAGAAGCTAAAGTGTTTAACAAATCTATACACAATGTTTGAAAATAAATGTTCACAGTTGTGTGGTCTCCTCAGAGAAAGTAAAAGAAATCACCAACAGAGTGTGCAGACAACCCACCAAGTTGGCAAACACTTTTGCCAGCTGTTCCTCAGACAAAAGACTAAAATCTAGAATATAAAAAGAACTAAAAGAAATTAGACTCCCCAAATTTAAAGACCCAATCTAAAAATGGGCATCTGAAATGAACAGACACTTCTCAGATGAAGAAGTATAAAAGGCAAATAAACACATGAAAAAATGTTCAACATCACTGGTCATTCAAGAGATGCAAATTAAAACAACACTGAGGTTCCACCTCAACCCAGAAAGAATGGCTGCTATCATGAAATCAACCAATAACAAATGCTGGTGGGGCTGTGGACAAAAGGAACCCTTCTCCACTGCTGGTGGGGCTGTGGACTGATGCAAACACTGTGGAAATCAGTATGGAGATTTCTCAAAACACTAAAACTAGAGGTTCCATTTGACTCCTATATTCCCCTTCTTGGTATCTTCCCAAAAGAATTAAAAGCATCCCACCACATCCATATGTGCACACCTATGTTTACAGTAGCACAACACGTAATAGCTAAATCTTGGAAACAGCCCAAATGCCCATCAACTGATGAATGGATAAAGAAGATGTGGTATTTTATACATGGAGAACTACTCTGCCATAAAGAAGGATAAACTTGAGACAGTTATAGCTAAATAGATGCACCTTGAGACCATACTCTTAAGTGAAATAAATCAGACACGTGTTTAAATACTACATTGTTTCTCTGATGTGAGAAACTGAAGGTGCTCCACCGAGGAGAGTATGTGGTGGGCGGACTCCTGGAGGCCTGACCTCAGGCCCGCGGCCTCTCAGAGGGAACGCTCTCTGGCCTCCTTCACCCCACGCCAGCACAAGTCTCCCCGCACCTCTCCAGCGCACCTACGCCGTGGAGTGCCACGTACCATCACAGCTGGGCAAGGCATGGTTCCACTGGTGGTTCCTCTCGCACACCAGTGGCTCATCGTCACTCAGGGTGTAGCCGGGGTCACAGCTGAAGGTCACGGTGGATCTGATGCCAAAGTTACCGCCGTGCCGGTGGCCGTTCACGGGGATGCCCGGGTCGAGGCAGGAATCTGACTCGAGGGTCACACCTAGATGCAGAGGGTGCACACAGGATAGGAGGCCATCTGGGTTAGTTGAAAAGAAAACAAGGGCCACGCTACAGACCTCTCCAACACTCCCTGACACACTCAGAAGGGGAAGGCGTGCACCAGAACAGCCCGTTACCGAATCTGCTGTTGAACATCCAACAGTCCATTCGTCTAAGGGACATCCAAGTTCAAGTCGCTGGCCCCGTGTTTCACATTAGAGAGATTTGTATTGTTATGCAATTTACCAGAGGAGATCTCAATACTGCAACCTTGAATAATTCATTGACCTTGTGAATTTCACTTTTCTTTATTGGAAAATCAATGAACTATTAAATAAAGTCCAAGTACTTTTTCCTTTACTTTTTAATCTCCATCATTTCCTGTCTTTCTCTTTTTATATTTTATGTACCTGTTAGATTTTGGCTGTCATACTGTAACTTTCATATATTTGCATATATACACCTATATATGGACACATGTAATATAATTTAAAATTATACTAGAGTTGAGTTTTAAAAATTGCATTTCTTAAATCCATACAGTTTAAAAATCTACACTTAAGTCAGCCACTTTGGAGATGGCTATAATTAAGCTAAGCTAAAACATGTGAAATAAAGTTAAGGAATTACATCATGTCATTTCAAGAATGTCTGTTCTGTTTCATATTTCTCATTCTAGGATAGCAAATATTTTAAGAGATGACCAAACTGAGGAAAGGAGAGAGTATCACTGTAATATTTACACATACAAGGAAATGAAGGCTTGTTGTTGCTGTCACTCTCTTAGTAAGGTTCAGAACATGAATTATGATCTCAAATAATCAAAAATCTTAAAATATTTCCAATATTTAGACTATTAAATACCCTCCCGTGATCTCTGGGATACTATTACGGATCGTTACTCTGGAGAGTTTGAGTGATGTGACTTACAAATAACTTTCCCTCAAGTAAAATACATGAAATATAAAATCAGAGGAGATTTTTAAAAAATAACCAGTAATGAATGGTGTTTCCTTGTTAGTATAGTGCAGTGTGATGCAGGGGCAGTGGAGCCCAGCTGGCTGTCGGGTGTCCTGCTTATTCACAGTGGGCTCCGGGGCAAGAAGACTTCAGCACCCCCTACAGGATGGAGCCGCTGGAGGTTGAGTTCAACCACCGGGGCAGTGATTGACTTCATAATTGCAAGGCAGGAGACCTGCAGACCTCTGGACACCAGTGCTGGAGAATCCGCCCTCACACGTTCTCAAGTTCTCTGCCTGGATCCTTCCCGAGCCCTACACCATGTGGCTGGCTCTGTCACTCCCTCTCCCTGCACTCAACACGACTATGTCCTAACTCCCCCCAATTTCTTGGAGTCCTTGTGTGAGCCATCACACCGGAGAGGAGCTCTGGGGACTCCTGAACTCACAGTGGTTTCTGGAGCTGGCAGAGGGGGCAAGGTTTGCACCTGGCAGGCAGGATGGTTCCCTTAACCTCATAGTGGTTGGCGCTGGCAAAGCCAATGAAGCTATCTTAGAGTTGATTTCAAAGGAGGAGGCTGAATGACGAAAGGAACCAAAGTGAAAACAAATAGAGCTTTATTTTTCCCAAGAACTTTTCTTAAACCATCATTCCAAGTCCCCAGAGACTAACAAGTGCTCATTTCCACACACAAACAGAAGTGACTGCTTTGGTTCTCATTAATGTCAACAGCATCAACGCCCCTCCCTCAATGGCTCTCAGCCTCCTACCAACCTCCCATGGACTGTTTCTCCTTGGCCATGCCACTCTGCCTTGCAGCTGGCTTACTATGGACTAAACCGCTATGAACTGTGAGCCAAAATAAACCTCTCCTCCTCAGAGCTGTGGATGTTGGGTCTTGTGTCTCAGCAATGAAGATTGTAACTAGACACCCAGTCTCTGAGAAAATCACCTAAATCATTGCATATCTTCAAGTGGTTTCTTGTGATGACCAAACAGCTATACATATTCCTTGCATTGCAGTGGACAGCAATGACGGGAATTACAACTCAATATAATGTGAGAGTAATGCACTAATGAATCTAATTGATAATGAAATTTGAAATTATGAACTTTTCTGACACAGAATTTGCAGTAAAGAAAGAGCCAGATACTAATGGAAATCAAAGCATAGATCCTTAAATATAGAATTCTATATGTGTAAAACTACAGAAACTGTCTGTCTGGCCCTGCATCAACTGTTCTGTTTTGGGCACTGGTGCTGAGCTGAGACTGCGCTGACCCTGAGCTCCTTGGCAGTACAAGGTGTTGGCACTCAGAGGGCAGGAGGTGAAGATGTGCATCACTGTGCAATCACAGTGACAAACCCAAGGACAACTCAGGAGAGCAGTCTGGCAAGGAGTCCCAGGGCAGGGGGCAGGGGATGGACCCAGGGACATTCAGCGAGCCGGGTCCTGCAGGTGTCAAGGCCAGTCCCTGAGGACAGGCACTGCATCGGAGGGAACCTACAAAGCATTGTTACCTTGCAAAGGATGGGTTCAAACTTGTGATCCTCCTGTTTTGCCCTCCCAGAAAGCTAGAATGAGAGGCATGGTTCAGTCTCCAGGATAGGATTTCATGGGAACTAGGAGTACATTTAGATTCTGTTCCAACTGTTTCTTGATTGAAACTTGAAGCGAGTAGAAATTCTTCACACAGATGTTAATATGCTTCTTTTCTTTTTGATCTTTGTAAAACAAGTGACCATAAATGTGCTATTTAGTGAATAAAGGAGGTTGATTACTTTGAATATAACCCACGTATAGCTACAGCAATGTGCATTTAATATAACCAAGTCAGCTTCTGTGTAAGTTATTAATCTTAATAAAAGTCTAGTTCAGGGATGAATGGAAGTTTGCTGAATGCCACGGATGGGACACGCTGTAGTGCTGTCACCTTTCACAGCCTCCCAGCTTCAGACTGGAGGCTTACAGGTCCCTCCTCTAGGCAAGGAAACAGGCAAGAGATTGAGCAAACTGCCCAATGCCAGTCATTGGCTGACATCTAACACTCAGGCCCTCGAGCACTTTCCTCCTGGTCACATATAGAAACTGCATCTCAGGAAATGACCTGTGTGCGTGTGCTCACACTCACAGCTGCTCACACTCACAGGTGTACCACCGAAAGTACTCACTTTCATGTGGTTAAATAATACAGTGTATGAAGTAATGGCATTTATATCTCACAATCATTCTTCCTTCTTCAAACACTATTTATAAATTTTTCTAAAAGCCTTCCTAAGTAGTGCTCCATAATTAAGTGGAAAACCACACATCTGAGGATTCCATTAATTTATTTTGCAATTCCTTATAAGGTGGTAATTCAAAATCAGTAAACAAGACAGTGTTCTGTAAGGGTTTGGCTGTTCCCTTACACACAGCCAGGCCTCCCACAGGGTTGAGTGAGCCAGGAACCGACTGTGCTCGGGTGGGGAGAGGGCGTTCGGGGCCTCAGTTCACAGGGCAGCAGCATAACAGAGGGAGCTGCAGGACAGCGGGAACTGGCTGCCGGCCTCCCCAGCACAACTCCGAGACAGCTTCTGCTGGGACCTGGACCAGGACCAGGACTGAATCCACGGGGAGCGGGTGACCTCCCACAGCGCTGAAAGTGAGCCTTGGGCAAGGCCAGGCTCTCCCGGAGGGCTGTGTGCATGCCCGGGAGAATGCCTAGGACTGTCCGGGCACAAGTGGAGCTCTTAATAAGGGTTCAAAGCAAGGGTGGCTTTACAGTGTCAACAGTTTAGGATGAGACACAAAAGCGGAGCTATGTTACTATTCCGTTTGTTTGTAAACATCCTGCTATGGATTGAATTGAGGGCCTTTGCACTGAGTTTCATCCCCAGCACATTTATTTGTTTGTTTGTTTGTTTGTTTATTTAGAGCCAGTGTCCTGTTAAGTCATTAAGATGCCACTCCTCCTGCCTCAGCCTCCAGGAGTGCTGGAATTATAGCACATCCATGTCCATTACTCGTAAATGGAATACAGAATTTCACTTGAAGCCATTCGTGGGTCACGGGCACCCACTGCTTGAGGGGGTGTTACACGACTGTGGGCGTCAGAGTGCCTGCACACTCGGTCAGTGCACACTTCCACACAGGCTGAGGGGTTTAGGGTGTGGAAGGGCGTGGCAGTGAACCCTGCTCCTCCTCCTCCCCACAGGCTTGTGTCCTGGGCCCGGGCTGGCTCGAGCTCCCGCTGGTGTCACTGAGGCACTGGGGCTGGACTGGACTCTGGCATGCTGGCTCTGGTCAGGGTCCCTGAGTCCCCACATCCAGAACTTAGGCTCAGGACTCACAGTTTCCTGAGAGGCAGGGATGGTCAGAGCCTGTGATGTCCCAAGGAAAGTGCCCCTCATTTCCCGTGCAGTCAGTGCCATGGATGGGCTGGGAATCCCAGGAGGGCTCAGCTCTCTGCCACCCAAGGCAAAGGCAGTGGGAGCACCTGAGCCAGCCCTCTGCAGTAACTTTCATGTGAAACCCTGACAGTAACCATTAGGCACATCATTGTTAAGAGTGCGGTTTATACAAACCCAGACTGCTCCATTTCTTTCCTATGCAAGTGCCATAGCCTATGTCTCCGGGTTTTGGCATTTCTTCGTTTCTCCTCAAATGCACGCTGACTGCTGTAAATAGCAGTAACAGCACCCATGGGTGCTGTGACGTCCTTCTCAGACATTCCTCCAATGTAGTTTCAATGCTCTGACCCAGAAGAAAGTATAGACAATGCCTCCTAGAGGGATACTGAGACGTTCACAGCAGGAAGCTCTGCAAGTGCCAGGTGTGATCCAAAGAGATGGTGCAAGTTTCAATTAAAAACAGCTATGACCATAAGAGACACATTGCTATTAAGCATCAGTGCCTCTCAACAATGCCTCCTCCCTTTGAATACATTTATCCTATCTTCCTCATCATTTTCTGAAGCAGTTCTGGAAGTCTACTTTCTTGTGTGTCTTTAAGGGAGATGTAATCAACAATACAGTGAGTGCTGGGGAGTGGCATCCAGCAGAAAGGCAGCTGGTAAGAGCCCGATGCTGCGTCTTCATCCACCTGTTCAACGGCTCTGGCACTGTGACTTCGGGCTCTTCCCAAAGTCAAAATGACCACAAAGGGAAACATTTTGAATGGAGGCAGCCAGGACAGTGTAACAAGGCTCAGGAAAGAGGACTCCAAAGCTTCTGCAGAAAGTGCCAGGAATGGGATTCAAAGTGAAGGGAACATTACAAGGGGAATTCATGGCAATGTGTCTTTTACTGTAACAATTTAAAAAAAACATTCACCATTCACTGTATTTTTTATCATGCCAGGTACATTGTGCACCTACGAACGGAGTAGTAGAAGGCTGGTTCCACAGGGACACTGGCTGTGGACCACTACCCTCTTCAGGTCTCGTGCCCATGATGCGGCTGTCTCCTGCAGAGAGGAGGAAGAATCCTCAATTCCCCAAGCGGTAGGGGTCTATGACACTCAACAGGAATTCATTCTGCTAGGAGTGCACCATGCTGCTGATGCGTTCTTCTTCTTTTTCCTGAGGCAAAGGACGAAACCTGGGCAAGAACCATGGTGGCACAAGGCACCTTCCAGCCTGGATGAGGAAGGGTCACTGAATTCTGGAACTTGTGTATGATCATAACAGCTATTTGTTTATTGAATTACTATACTGTGTTTTGTTATTATATTAGTGCAGGTGAAGAATTAAATAGAAACTGTGAACAGACTTCCTATCCTTCTTTGATTTTCCAGGAAGGATAAATACAAACAAGCTGTGTATTTAGATGAATAAAATGAGAAGATGAAATTAGTTTCTACCACCTGCACGTGACCTTTAGAACACATTTTCTTAAAGTGTCATATGAACGGCAAAATATTTTACAATGGTACAGAGAAAGAAGACAGGAGAGGGAACTTGTTGCAGTACTGATGAACGCCCAATAATATTTATTCTCTGAAGTTTCATGCAGTGTATGTCAATGGGCCAAGAAATTCTGGTCCAAAAATAATGGGGGGTGGTGGTGAAAAGATTACAACACTTTGCTATTTAATGTTCTCAGATTGTTCCAAAAGCAGGGATCATTTAAAAAGACATGAAGAAGTTATGAAATACCAAGGTTTCTGGTTCTTAAATTTTAAAAAATATTACTTTTAAATAAATGTTCTCTCTCTCTCTCTCTCTCTCTCTCTCTCTCTCTCTCTCTATATATATATATATATATATATATATACACCTGAAGCATAATTAATAACTTTGAATCAGGCTTGAAATTAATCTTTATGTCATGGGTGATCAATGTTCTTGCTAGCAGGACAGGGCCACTGTGCGATCCCAGTGTTCACCCTAGCCTCACACGCATGTGTGCCTGGGTCCATCCGTGTGTAGCTGTGTGGCTTGGGAAGCAGGAGTGTGCTGGGGGCTGTGAGTTGGAAGGTGGAAGAAGAGGCTCTGGGAAAGATGCGCTAGAATTCCAGGAGAAAGGGAGAGGAACGCGAGGAAAGGAAAGATCTAAGATCCAGAACGCTAGATAGGAGCCCATTTGTGCATTTATAAAATTGCATATGTGTAACAATATGTATTAGAAGTAATTTGAAGTTTATTGTATTTATTTTGAGATAAGTTTCTAAAAGAGAATGACCCCCCCCCCCAAAATCTTGCAAACTCATGGTGTGGTTCTTCAGTTCGCATGGCAACCACCACTCTTTTTCCTTGTTCATTTCCCTCTGACAGGAGGGATTTTAGGAGGAAGGGTGACATCTGCTACGCTTTGCTTCACTTTTACCTGACTGGGGTGCTTAATACGTCTTCACAGGAGGAATAGCCTTTCACTAGATCTGGAAGTAGATGTGCATTAATATGACCACAAAGTGATAAAGACTTGATCAGAAGCCATATTTTGGCATAAGGAATCAGAAATGAGAAGGCATATTTAAATTTGGACTCTCAGGATAAATACACTTCATAATGTGTTCAAAAATGCTCTGAGCAATTGGGACGTGGTTCTGGTTATCCGGATTTTACTTCTGTTAAAATCTTTGCTCTCTCTGCATTGGAACTCTTGCCTGGGCCAACAGACTGAGTATATGCTACCAAATGCTCTACCACAAGCCCCTCTCATTGCCACATTTTGGCCAATGGCTATCTTTTCTAAAAATGAGAACATATAATTACCTTACATGGCAACTATCTTACCATTTCCCTGCATAATAGGTGATTCATACGTATTTGAGGAGTGCAAAGACTAACAGCCCAAGGTGCTCCAAAAGACAGTACCCTCAGAGTTGTCTAGGCTGCTGGACACAGGCAGGCAGTCAGCCCAGTCACCCACAGGCTGTCGGAGAGGGGCTCACAGCTCATGTCCCCCCAGGTGGCTGCTTAGCTACTTACTTTCGTAGTGGATGAGGAAGCCGACACTGGACCGGCTGCTGTCGGTGGTGAAGAGCAGGTACATGTAGTTGCCGGTACTGATGAGGAACTGGGGCGCCTGCGTGCCGTGGTACTCTCCAATCAGGGGCGAGGAGCCGGCGGGGCCATCCCTGACCTCCAGGGTGTCGTAGTTGACTTCAGTCTGGAACCTGCAAGGGAACACATGTCAGGGGGAAGCGGCTGCATGAGCTCGCACACCATGCTCTCCTGAAGCAAACTCCAGTGATGTGAACAAAATGTTTAAAATTCCAAACCGTTAAACCTTGGGGATGCATATTATGGAAGGATAGTATTTTTCTGGAAGAAACAGCACACCCCAAATCTGTCCAGCTTACTAACACTATCTTACAACATTGCAGATACAAAGAAAGATCTTTATTCAGCTCTGAAACAAAAACATTATAAACCAATTTCGTTTTCTTAGGCAGATAGATAATTACTATCTGTCTAGTTCATAATCCTCAGTTAGTGAAAAATCAATGATTAGGCACTTTCAAGGTATTTTCACAAACTCCTCTTTAACATGATTATGGACACACTGAGGGCAAATTCCTTCCTCTTAGAGGAGGAGGAATTCAAAATACACAATATTTAAATATTTATCTGGAAACAGCTGCACCTTTAAAGCTGCATCAATTTTCAGGACAGAAGAATAACACTGGGCAACTCGCCACGCCAGACATCAGAGGATGTTTAATGATGGAAACCTTAGAACAGCTTCTGAAAAGTGCTTAACTCTTCCTGCACTTCCAGAGAGTCTGGCCAGCCATCATATTTATATAAAGTTGCAGCCTCTCGGGGCCTCTTCAATGCAATGATGGAGCTATTTTTAGCACCGACGTAATTTTCTAAGTGGGCCTATCTTGTCCTCCAAGAGGTAACCTGGTTTCTCAGCATCTGCTTCTGCTCTCGGGGAGCAGCTGAGGCCTCATGAACCTCTGACTCACTGGGTAACGCTGTGCCAAAGCCTCTTCTGAAGCCGGCACAGGGTCCTACTGACGGAGGACTGCAGAACTGGGGACAGAAAGCTGTCTCGTCCTCATGGCCCCGAAGTTTCATTATCAACAGAGGCAGGAGTAAGGCCAAAGGTGCTGCCTGACTATCGTTAGCTTGCATGTGCTCCTCAGCCCACACGCACAGCAGTGCCACGTGTTCGCACCTCAAAGCCTGGTTTGTGAAGCTCACTGCTCCTCAGAGAGGAATTCACACAACTGCTGTGTCACACAGGCCAGGGCACTGGGGTCTGGGACGGCGGGTCCTGGGCCAGCTCTGTCTTCTACTGTGTTAAACCTTGTTCTAATGGCATCACGTTTCCCACATGCTTAAGTTAAGTTTCCAGGAGTCTGAATAAAGATAAAAACCATGCACGTCACCCATTCACACTAAAGTTTTCTATGCAAGTGGCAGCTAGCCCTGGTTAGCGTGCATCCACCAGCTGTGTGGTCTCTGGAATAGAAAGCCCGAAGGTGCCCCATGATGTGCACACAGGACAGCCCATACCCTTGCCTGGGTTTAAGGGTCTATGGCACACACACCCTTCCTGGGGCTTTGCCTGGCCCTGCCCCTGGGAGCCCATAGTCACTGGACCCCCACACTCATCTCCAAAGGGCTGGGTGCTGCATCTGGGGAAAAATCACCAATGCCCAGGATTTTGCAAGCTACTGCACTGAAATTACACTGTGAAGACCAGAGAGGCAAAACTTAAACAAGTATAGCTTTTCAGGCAACTGAGAATAGATTCTGCCAACTGAGAATGTCAGAAATATTAGAAAGAGGAAGAATTAATAGGAAACAAAATTTAGTTTACTGAATGCTTATAGAGTTAGTTTTTTTCAAATGGTAAATATTACTTTCAGGATTCCATTCTCTAGCACACATGAATCAATCAAAAATTTCACCTGGTTTTTATGGATTATCATGCTTGAGACTATTATCATCCAACAAATATTAGTAATAATATGAATAATAATTTCAAATAAAACTGATTACTAAAGATAACATGACTTCTACTAAAAATATCTTTCTCATATGGCTATCTCTGTTTTTTAGGAAATTATTAAAGAACAAAAAAGATGTAATATAATAATGTGCATCTATCTTGAGATACTATAATATTCTGAATATGAAGACTCAGAATATGATTTTGCCAAAGAACAGGGCCTCTTCAGAAAAGCCCAACGTGATTCTGAAATCAGAGTTCAGGCCTTTTACTGAAGTTGCTTCTTTAGGTTTCAAACCATATGGCTCATTCCAAACCATTTTTAGCTTTTAATCACAAAATCGATTTCAATGTTAACCAAAATGGGAAAACATCTTATCCCACAGAGCTCAGGAAGCACGCTCACTTTGCAGGTTGTCAAGTACACTGCCAGCAAGCTGAGCCCCAGTGTCCCTGTGTTGTGCTGCTCTAGGGAATTCACAGACAATGAACCTGCTGCACTTGCCTGGTGGCCAACTCTGCAATCGTCAGCCACCACCAGGTACTCAGCACTGTCACCTGGGCCCGAGAGGTCTTTCCTGTGCTGCCACAGAGGCAGGGACAGGACTGGCAGCAGGGAGCTGTTTCCCAGGGCCATGAAGCACTGGCAGAGGGTGTGGCACAGCAGGTCCCAAATCCAGGAGGGACCGGAGCCAGCCGGGAAGGGGTCACCCGGACCCTTCCTCCCAGCAGCAGGGATGCAAGCCAGCGGGAGACATCTGGACAGGACTGGCCAATCACAGCCTCTCTCTCATTCAGGGACCCTCCGAGACCCTTCTGAGATGAAAGACCCACTCACTGCTAACACGGGCAGACCTGGGTCCTCAGGCCCACGCGAAGGAAGAAAAGGCTGGACCTTACCTGTCAAAGGTTATTTTGATGGAATGTCCTGGTTTTGCTTCAATGATCCATTCACAGTTTAAAGAATCTTTGTAATAGCCTGGCCACCCAGGAGGCAAAATGACCCCACCGGAAGCTGTCAGGTGTCCTCCGCACGGGGCTAAGGGAAGACACAGCACGAGGGTCAGTGGACGAGAACATGCACGAGGCCGCACCTGTGCGCTTTGCTAGCCCTGAGGTTCTCCACATGCGAGGAGGGGCACGGCCAGCTCCTCTGTGGCACCGTCTCTGCCCAAAGCAATCCCCCAGGCTTTCTCGGCTGTTCCCTGTGCCACTTTCCACTTTTTGGTGTTTTATGTCTTGCTAGGAGATGAACAATTGTGAAAATATATCCACGCACAATTATTTCTCCCTCATGGGAAATTTTCTATTTTTAAGGCTGGGTGTTTTTAGAGCTGGGTCGGAGAAGGGGAGCAGGTGAGAGGCTGCGAAGGGCGGTCCTGTTGGGAGGGAGCGGAGAGGAGACCCCCAATCTAAGCCCAGGACCACGCGGCATCCCCCCGACTCTGCCAGAACGAACACCACATTTCAACCAAAATCTTGCATTACCGAGACATATTTTTTAGGTAACATTATATTATTCTTTTCTAATAATGGCCCTTTCTCATTTACATTCCTAAAAGTGGTGTAACTTTCTTTTCTCCTAGTTCCTTTTTTTTTCTTTCTTGAATTCTTTTATTGGTACATTTTAGGTATACAGTACATTTATTTTAATCCTTATTCACACTTTCAGTTTTTCACATTAGAGGAACTATTCGGTGTTTACACATGTGTGTCCTGTTTATTTCACTTCAGAGGATGGCCTCAATGTGCATCCATTTAGCTATAAATGTCTCTAGTTTATCTTTCTTTATGGCTGAGTAGTACTTCTAGTTCCTTTTAATAAAATCATGCAGGGTTTGTCTTTTATTGGTAAAAAACTCACAATTGCTTTGAACTGTTGTTTCTAACATTTAATTTGTTAGTGTACTATTCTAGATTATTACTGATTTCTTTTCTACCTTTTAACCTTCCTATTAAGTTCCCTTATTACTTAACCTTCCTATTAAATTTCCTTGTTTTTGGTTTTGTTTTCTGTAGATATGATTTTTAATAGAAAAAAAATTCTCCCCTGCGTGGGTTGCAGGTATTGTAGGATTTGTGGTGAGAATTTCTTGAATTAATTAGGGTGGACTTTTGACATTTTTCCAGCTATTTGCTGTGATGCTGTTTGTATTATACATTTGTATTTTACTCAGAATATGGCCAGTGCTGTGGCCTGCATTTATTTTGATTTCTGAAGGTTCACTTTGTGGCCAACTGTGTAACTGATTTTAAAAAGTGATACTGGAAAAAAATCATAATTGTGCTCTGTAAGGGAAATGCGGCTCTTTATACCCTAGGTGATCAAAAATCACAGTGAAGGTTTACATTTTTTTAAAATGTCAGTATAAGATACATACATTGTCCTTATCCCCCTGAAGATACTCTTCCATACTTAGAACACAAGTACCCCTTCGATGTTGCCACTTCCTGCAGCAGCTCCGGAAGTCCCTTCTCATGAGTGTCTTTAGTTGCACTGTTCTGGCCGCCTCAGCGTCCTGAGTCAATCCAAAATGTTTACTCTGCAGGTTCATTTTGATTCTGAGGAAGAGCCAGAATTCACCCAGTGCTGGATCAGGTGAAGAAAGTGAATGAGGACACAGCATCATATTTTTATGGCCTGCCTGTCCCTTGGAGGTACTCAGCTGCACCATTCACCGTGTATTTTTTATCACACTCATAAAGACACTCATGAAAGAAGTCTTCCGGAACTGCTTCAGAAAGTGGCAAGAAAGCTACCGGCTCTGTTCATGCAGCTCTGGAGTTGGGCTCCTGTTTCCCTGCACCAGACCCCTCCTCTGGGCGTCCAGCTAGTCAACATCAAAGTGCATCTACCAATCTCTCTGAAACTCATCTGCACACAGCTATGGAGTTTCTGAGGCCAAAAAATCTGTCACAGTCTCTCACCAGTAATTCTTCTCTGCTGTGGGTTTCCCTTCCATTAGGGTCAGCCTACAGCTGGACTTTGTGTGTAACTTCCCCTGGGTGGGTGGGGCTCTTCTGGTCAGTGCTGTGAGATCTTTCCCCTCCCGACTTCCGGTTTTACATCCCTGGCACTGTCCAAGGTCCTTTCCTGTACAACTCCTAACGCTCCGTAAACAGTTTGGTACCAGGGAAGGGCAGCTTGGCAGAGCAGAGAGCAGAGGACTGTTTACTTGGAGCATGTTTCTCATGAAATCGTTCATGCTTCGGAGTCCACAGTGATGTGCTCGGCTGGAGCACTGTGTGCAGACAGGATTACTCTGCCCCACGACTGACAGGTTCACCTGAGCCCACCTTGTGTGTATATTTACTTATGGATAAAGGATTAAAATTGTCCCATTCATTAGCATTTCATAAAATGTAAAAAATACAAATTATACATTTACAACATGTTATTAACATAGATAAAAATAAAAATACCACTACTATTTTCTTGCCCTTTTTTGTGTCAATTCTGTACCCAAGGCAGGCGCTGACACATCACCAGTTTGCTCTGAGGGTCTATGAGAGGAAGTAGGACATCTTTCTGAAGGCCTTGATGGAAGCGTTTCCTTGAAACAAGGATGCACAGCTTGCTTTAGGGGGCCTGAGACAGGACCTCAGGGTCTGCCATCTCCACACTGAGATCTGGCTCTGCCACAACCTCCTGAGACCCTGGGTTTGGTGCTGACTGGGTTGCGCATTCCAGGTAGGAGACAAGCCCCAACATAAACATTTCTCTTCTATTTACTCGTTAACAAGAAACCCATGTTGACTTTAGACAACTGAGAAAATAGAAAAAAAATAAGAGGGAAAAAAAATTCCCAGTAACATGATTAGCATTTTGGTATGAACATTCCTTTCAGGTTTTTAAAAATTATTATCCTGAGATCTAATATATTTATGTTTTCAACTTCGAGCTTACTTCACCTGTGCTTTGCCATCTGTTCTCCTTCATGATAATGCTTTGTGTGCATATACAACTATTTATTTATTTATTTTGCAGCCCACTCCTCAGAGTTGGTGGGAGGAACCAGCTTAGCCCCAGCCTGGACCTCAGAATTCCAGCCGCCCCGCCCAACTGCCAGAATACACTTCTCTTGTCTGAAGCGCTCTGGCTGCCTTGGGGAGGCCAGGAAGTGGCGTGGTTTGCCTGCTGGGAGGCACAGGCAGGATGTCCAAGGGGAGTACGACAGACGCCAGGGCCCACCTTCGCAGCGAGGCACGTTGGAGCTCCACACCACATTCCCGTCCTGCAAGATGCAGCTGATGGACTCTGAGCCCTGGGTCTTCACAAATCCGTCATCACAGTGGAAGGAAACTGAGCTCCCAAGGAGGAACCTGTCGCCAAAACGCCGCCCGTTTATAGGGATGCCTGGGTCATGACATTCATTTTGCCCAAATGCTGAAAAGGAAAAGAGAAAACTGTAGAATAAAGAGGCTGATCATCAATTAAGTGCATTAAAAAGAAAGGAGCAGAATGACTCATATAGCCATTATTTCTCCAAATTTCAGTTATATATTATAAAACAAATACATAAATAGGTAAATAATTACTTTACTACCTTTAATTGCTTTTAAATACATGTTCTTAAATAAAATCCATTTGGACAATGAGGAAATTAAGGCATACAGAAGTTTATGGTCTTATCAAAATTCACTATGTATCTCTAAGAGCTAGTATTACAATCACTGGTTCTTGATCTTTAACACTTCAGTCATTTTTACTACACTATTTACAGATGGACAGTCAGAGGATGAAAGAGGAAGGAAGGGAGGAAGGATAGATGGATGGACAAATGATTAGGAGGAAGGATGCAGAGATGGATGGATGAAAAGCTAAAAGGGAAGAGGGATGGAAAAATGGACAAGTGTTTGGGTAGCTAGAAGGAAGGAGGACAGGTAGATGCAAGGAAGGATGGCTGGATGGAAAGAGAAAAAACATATCCAGTCCCCATCTACAGAGGTGTGCAAGACTCTAACTTAAAACATCTAACTAACATAGATAAAAATAGAAATTGCACTATTATTTTCTAGCCTTTCTTCATGTCAATGTTGTATACAAGGTAGGTGCTGATAGACCACCACCTTGTTTAAGGATTTATGAAAGCAAGTAGGACATCGTTTTGTTCTTCAACACTGGCAGAAACACACACACACACACACACACACACACACACACTGGTTATCCAGATAATGCTGGATAAGTTTGCTACTCCTATCACGTCTATAACGATTGAGCACACAAGTCCTCAGCCCTGGAACCCCAGCCGCATGGCCAAGAAGGGGTCCCTGAGCCACTTACTGGTGTAGGTGATGTTGAATCCTCTGCCGGTGGTGGAGTGATCAGACTGGAATTCCAGGCGCACTATGTGCCCGCTGCTGGCCAGCTGGGCAGGCACTTCGTTACCGGAAAACGTGCCAAGGACAGTTATGTCAGAAATCCCGTCATCTTTGATTGCAAGGAAGTCAAACTGCGGCTCCACATCAAAATCATTGAAGATGAGGTGAATCCTGCTTCCTGGTTCTGAGATAATCAGCCAGACGCAGTTCATGTTGTTGCCGTACTCCTCTGGGTAATTCGGTGAGAGGATGATGCCGGAGGACGCCGTGAAGTTGAAGAAACAGGAGACTGTGGAAAAGGGAAACAGCATCACGCAGGGTGGCACAGACCTGAGCACTGCAGAGGGACATGGCCCTGAGACAGGGAGGTCACCTGTGGGCGCCCCCACGGGCCAACCACCCTAAAGCAGGTGACCCTGGGACAGTATCCCCTCTCCTGCCTTGTACATAAAATGCTCCACTTGCTAACTCAGCACAACCAGAGCTTGTTAATACTTGGGCATGGGTTTTGATTTTTTTTTCAATTTTTGTAACAAATTGGCTAAAAATGTGTGCTGATTATCATAATTTCTAGCTACAACTTCCGTTCCCAGAGGAGTGCTGATAATATAATCATGCATTTGAGTCATAGGAACAATTCAGCTTGCTCTTCTGTGGTAACTCATTACCTTGTATTTCCCTTTAAAGTACATTTTTCATGTTATTTATATTTCCTATTTGCGAGAAAAAGAATAATAATAAAGCAGAGAAAATCAGATCATGTTCTAGTTTAATAACTTACAAATCTCCTGAAAAATTTATTCTTTAGCACACAAACTTCTGAAACATACATGCATTTTTTTGCAGGGAGCTAGTACTGGGCTTTATTTAGGGTGCGATTTTGCTCCTTATTGTATATGATTTCATACATGCTTTCTACCCCTGCTATATTCATTTAAAATTTTTAAAAGCCTTTGCAAACTGGCTGTGACGTCTTTCCTGCGCTTCAAGAGAAAGAGATTTCATTGCAAACCCTCACTGCTGCTGGTTGCCGGGCCCTGTGCTCATGCTGAAGCCTGCAGGAAGCCACAGCATTGCCAGGACTGTGTGGGAATCTGACCCGAAAGTGCATCGGAGGCTCCTGAAGAGGAAGTGATGTGTGTCCTGTCCTGTCTAGCAGAACACTCTGAGCTGCTCCTTATCTAACAGGCTGGAGCGAGGTTGAGTTTAGGGAGCAGGAGGTGGGGCTGGAGGACGCCTGGCCCGCCCCATCTGGGGCCTGAACGCCCCGGCTGTTCCCGCCGCGGGCACTCACACACGCAGCTGGGCTTGTTGCCTGACCACTGGTTGTTCTGCTGGCACGTGATGACCCTCTCGCCCACCAGCTCGAAAGCGGCCTGGCACTCGAAGGTGAGCGTGTCCCCGTGGAGGAAACTGCTGCCCGTCCTCTTCCCATAGGCAGGGACTCCGGGGTCACCGCACCCGCCCTTTTCTATTTCTGAAAATGGGAAAAAACAAATGAACCATTAAATACATGCACAACGGGCACTATTAAGTCACGAGTTCACAGCTTCTTCCTGAAAGTCTAAACATCCATTACATCAGCGGTTTCAAAAAGATACTGAGTTTGTGTAACATTTAATTACAAAGGCCAGAATGAAATTGTAATTTGAACCTGATAGAAGGCATTTGATTTATTTAATCACATAAAGGGCTCCACAGAGGTGCTGACAACACAAATGCTGAGCGTGTTAGACGCGCATCCTTACCACTGTCAGCCTTTGCTCTCCCCCAGCTGCTACTGTGATGTCAACACCGATTTTGTCTTAAGACTTTTCCTTCTGTTTTTTAATTTTTATTTTTATTACTACCTGTTGGCAGTACATGATTACATTAATCATGGGGAGTTGGCACACGTTCATGACACAAAACTTGTAGGTCAAAATAATCTATTTGAAGATGAATAAATATGCTCTGGTTTTCAGATAAAAAGAAAATGTGCAGAAATAAACCCCTTTCTATTAAACATCACTGTTATGAAATATGGATGCAAATGTACCACACTTACAAGCCCGCTGCAGACTTGCTTCTGTCTCACATTTTAGCAACAAAGAACACATTCACTAAAATATGTTATTTGCTTATTCATTTAAAAAATCCCTTTGAGAGTCAGCTGATTGTAGGCTGTCTCTTAGGTAATGGGGTTTGCAAATTGAGCACAATCTTTGCTCTCTCTGGGCTCAAATTCCACACTGGAACATAAGAAAGGAGGCAGTGGACATGATTCGGACAAGGAGAGAAAGCAGTTAGGACATGGACGTGGAGGGGCACAGAAACATCATGGGGTCCCAGCGGGGTGTCCAGGAAGGACCAGCAGCTGTATGCAGTGCACACAGCTGCCTTCTTCCACCGTAGGAGTGTGAAGCGATTCCTCAGTAATGGCAGGGACATTTCATTTGGGAGAGCCTTTTGGGGACATTTTATATTTTGACCAACACTTGCCCCAAATTTGGGGGCACAAAATATGCCCAGATTTCAGCCATCCCACTGGAGAGTCCTACGATGCAGCAGAAATGTCTGCCTCTACTGCACCCATTCTCTGCAGGAGTGACTGGGTGGTGAATGAGCAGGGCCTCAGGCAATCCAGGAGCAGCACCCGCCCCTCCCACACCTGCTGGAACAAGGTCAGCCATGGCCAGGCCATGCTTCCTTGGAAACAAACAGCAGAGTCTGTAAGCAATTAAAGGACAGAAGACCCTAGAGGAAGGTAGCCTTGTCAAAATGCCCTTTCTCCTGAGAGGATTTGAGAACGAAGGGCCTAGTGGAGACACCAGGTTGGAATTACTTCCTCTCCTCTCCTGATACTGTTTTTTTGGCGACTGGGAATATCTGAGTAGACGTCCACGGGGGTCTCCCTGATGACCCTACTGAGATACTTTATCATTGCTGATTACCTTTGAAGTTTCCAAAGTAGTTTCCACTTTGAATTTTTCACATCAATTCTTGGATTTTATGAAGTATTTATTTTGAATGGTATTCTTACAGTGCATTATCAACATACTCTATTAGAATGACAATTTATACATAGCATTCATCTTTAATGCATTTTTCTTTTCTTTGGTACTTCATACTATGCCCTATAAATGCTTATATAATAAAAAGAATAAGTGGATTCACTATTTATCTTCTTGATATAGCTGACCAAGCAGCTTTAGGACACATGCACATCAAAGTAGTAGGCTAGCAAGTAGGCACTCAGCTGCGAGCACCCTCCCTAGGGCTCTCAGGAGGGGCTCTGTTTGGGCAAATGGATGGGGCATCGGACCTGACACCAGAAGACCCACCACTGGAACCCTGCACTCAGGCAGCAGAGAGAGCTTGGCAGGTGGGAAAGTTTCTGAGAAATGCTATTAAAAATTTTAAGATAAACTGAATGAGCGTGTAGAGTTCGTGGCAAGTTGTTTTTATTTACAAAGGGCAATTTTACTCAAATACATCTAAACCTCCCATCCATGCAACCATGCTGCTCCTCTTGCTGCATGTTGCTTCCCTTCCGGCTTGGTGGCTGGCTGGGGACTGTGCTGTCCTCCTCCTGCTGCGCCTCCTTGGTGCCATGAAGACCTCCACAGGCAGCAGGAGAAGCTCCTGTGAATGCACACTCCTGGGTGATGCCTAGGCCCCTCCAACTCCTTCGCAAGGCTGAGTATCCTGCTCTGTGTCTCTGGCTGTCATGTGCTTCTCTGTGTGTTCTCACATTGGGGCTGCTGTGCTTTTTGTCTCTCACTTTTTTATCTTCTGGCTGATCCTCCAGAAAGTGCCCAGCCATCTCCCACCCATGCACCTGCAGGTAGACCTACTCGGCAGGCACCCCTTGGAGAGAATTCAAAGCAATGAACACGTATTTTCCATGCTTCTCATGTCTGCAACCTCTGCTGCTCCCTGCCCACCCCCCCAAGCTCTTCCAGCCTCGTCACACCGGGAGCAGGACATTCCCTGGACCTCACGCTGCAGCATTCGCTCTGGCTCTGTTCTCTGCCTCTTCAGCTGAGACACTGTTCCCCTCGCCTTTCAGGTCATCCCTCCATGCAAAGTCTGCAAATCCCCAGTGCCAAGGTGGGTTTTGCCTTGCTCTCTTCTCTAGCGTTCACAGGTAACTACTTTAGAAGACATCAGCAGTAATTCAGCCTGGATTGATTTCAGCTGGGAACCTGTCTTCCCCCTGCACTGCATGGTAAGTCTTCCACATGGGGACTGAGCTGTACCTTCTCTGTACTTAGTACTTTGCACAAAGTGGACATGGGTGCTGCTGGCTGTTTAAAGAGCACTTCTGCGATGTCTGGCCAGGTGGGCACATGTGGACTCCAGCTGCTACACAGGCTGCACTTTTACCCTCAAGAGTTCCTAGCCATAGCAGAAGATGTTAAACTGACTAACAAGTATTTTTGAATACTGCTGATTTGTTGTAGCTGCAGGGTCTAAGAAATAATGGCACAGGCCAAGCCACTGCCCTGGAGGAGCTTGTGGATTGGCACAGGCAGCAGAAAACAGAAAATCCACAGGGTGCCTTGAAGGGCCCGAGAGCAGGCTGGCAGGGAGCAGACAGTGTGGGGACCGCAAGGTGGGCGGGCACCTCGGAAGCTTCCAAGAGCTCCAAACCTTGCCAGAGGCGTGGATGGAGAGGATGGCAGCCCTGTGCACAGGAGAGGAGAGCATTCTGTGGGCAGCACACAAAAGCAGCAGAAACAAGTGTGCACAGGGAAGGTGCATGGCATGTTGAAAAGCAGGGAGAAGGCCCAGGATGGCCATGCCCTGGGACTGAGGGACAGAAGGGAGGCTTGAGAATGAGCAACTGGTCATGGACCTGAGGAAGCAGAGGAGGCAGGGTCTGCAGAACATGGTGAGGACTGGGCTTCACTCTTCCCTCCTGCTGTAACCGCTGTATGGACCAGATAAATTATCAGTCATTTCCCCATGCACTGTAACACCATCCTACAAAAAACAGGGGAGAAAGTACATGCCATCATAAAATAAAATGTACATGCATTTTCTGTGAAATTGAGCTTCTGCTTTGTGAGGAACTTCAATCCTCAACAAGTGATCATGAAGACTAACTTCCATCAGCTTTTGTTATGTGTCTTTCAGCTGCGTGTTCTAGAGGAGAGGATATCGGGGCATCCCGAACTCAGGGCCAAGTCCCAGGTCATTCACGCATCAACTCTGAAGCTTAGGCTTATCATTCTCCTTGGTCCTCTCCGACCTGGAGGAGCCCCTTGTGGCACGGGCACCAGGACAGGCGTGGTATTCGTGGAGACGCCTGTGTTCCCATAATCGGAATCGACAGCGATGCACTCTCCCAAGCTGCAGGTGGGACAGTGGTCTTCCGGAAGAAATGGAATGGACACTAAGCATAAGCAAAAGTACACAGCTGAAGAATAATAAGATTCAGTACTCAGAATCTCTGCACGGTGCTGCCTAGCCCTTGTCCTGTGGGTCATGGAAAATGCTTGGCCTGGAGGAACAGCAGTCACACAGACATCGCCACTGGTCTTGGATTCTAGAAGCCCCTGGCCAGACACAGCGTGTGGGCCGCTGGCAGGGGCTTCACCTGGGGAGGCAGCGTCAGGGCGGTCACCGGGCTCCATGGAAGCTACGCGGCCCTGGCTTGTGCAGGAGGAAGTCTTCTCCAGGTCCCTTCGACTCTGGTGCAGCTTTCTTTCCGTGGCTCTGGGGCTCAGGGTGACGGGAGGAGCCCCCTCCACTTGGGCACTGCTCCCAGCTGCAGCCACAGAGGCAGAACGAGGCATGGGACGCTCCTGAGACATCTCTGCATTCTGTTCCCTCCCCTTGGTTGGGAACTCAGAATGAGATTTTTAGCTATGTGCTTAAAAATATTTTTATTTCCGAAGTTAAACAGACTCCTCTCCAGCCATGGCCTCTGCACTCTGTAGATGCATGGACTCCACGTCTGCACACAGGAGGTGCCGGGTATCACTTCTGCCCAGCGGTGCTGGGGGGTCCCCGCTCTAGTGCTTTCTGATGGACTGCAAGAAGAGTCCTAAAGAGGAGGGGACAAAGGGCTTCGAACAAAGCAGAACCTAACTCAGGTCGGAGCTGTGGCAGAGCCGGGGAAGGAGGGGAGCAGCACCCTCCCCCTCTGGGAGAGGGGAACCTGGGCTCCCAGCGCAGCCCTGCCACGAGCACAGGGCATGAGCCATGGGCACGCTGCATGGGGCCGTGGCAGCCGAGCCAAGTTTAACCCTTTCCCTGGATCATGTGAATACTAGTATCTACACACACAGAGCGTGGGTGGCACTGAAGGCAAAGCCCGAGTACTTTCCCCATTATAGGCCCTAATTTGGACCAAAGCAGAGATTTACGCAAATTGAGAGACACCAAAATGAATTTATTATACATTTTCACTCAGAAATAATCATGCAGGAATGAATGGACCTTTCGAAGTATGAAATCAAAGCACCAGTGATGTACACTAGCAGGAAA